AACTCATTTAAAGCCTTTACTGTGCATCTGCGAAGAGGGCCACCCCAGCAATGGGCACTTCAAGCAACGATGTGTGTATATGGACAACTTGAAATGTACATAAATGATTTCTACGATTACAATTCATGCCCATGTTCTGAACAAAGAATGGGAAGATGCCAGGCTCTTACTCTTCTACTTCTCCTCTATAGGTTCCTGAGCCAAAATGAGCTTTGCAGTCTTGTTAGATTCATGAGAAGTTTGATTACTATAAAGTAGTTTTATATTGGTTTAACAATTGGATTTTATAAGATGGAAATTAAGTTAATTTAAGTATGAAAGTTATATTTCATGCATTATCATCATCAATACATTATTTCTTCAATTCCATGCTGATTTTATCCAGTTTTTTTATAACTTCAGCACAAATTGCCTTCATACTGTTTTTCAAGTAAATCCCTTTTTTTTCAAATAAAGTCCATTTCCATTAAAATCATTCAGATCTCTATTAATCACTTGTTTGAAATGATTTCAGTTCCATCAGTTCTCAGACATGTTAAAGACGAAACGGCAGCTTTGAGCTAAATAATAATCCGATTCAGTACAAAGTGATAGATGAGCATTTATGCTAAAATTCACGCACCTGCAATTCAGCAACTGACAATTGCTTGAAGTGCCCATTGCTGGGGTGGCCCTCTTCGCAGATGCATAGTAAAGGCTTTAAATGAGTTGCAGATTTACAAAATAATTGCAGTAACTCCCACCAGTCTAGGCAGGCGGTTATGTGCAACCGTGAAGAACTGAAGGTCGACGAACTGAAACAAAGAACTCAGTGTGAGGCCCTCGAACTGTGTCAGAAATAAATACTCTACGAGTGGCCATCATTTACAAGTATCCCCGGAGGCACAGTGATTGTTCTCTATAATGAGCCTTGTATTTTAATGTATCCTCACAGGCACCCATCCATCAAGTAAGATTTCTTCCTTTCATGTCAGAGAGGATATTTAATTTTTTCCACAATTTATCATTCTCACCACGCCAATCTTTCCAATTTAATTTTTTTAACTCTCTGAAGTGGAGTTCGGATGTTTCTCACTAAATGTTGGCTTAATACTCCATTTGTAATGGAGTAATTATTCCATTTGTAACATAGTAATGTACAAATATGGTTCGCATCACACAAATGATGAATTGCAAACACATATTCAAAGAATTACTAGAAACAGAAGCATTCTTATAACTCAGTAGTTCAACAAAAGCAAAAATCTTCCCTTTAATATCCTAATAGCATTGTCTTTCACTTGGGTGTTCCTGGGTTGTTTGCTTTAGAGAGGATCTTATTGAGTTTAACATGGATGGGCAATTTGGCTGGAGAGCTGATTGGAAGCCACCTGACCCTGGGAAAAAATTCAGTACTAACAAGTACACAATACATTTTCTTGGTGGTAAATTGAACTAACATCCTTTCAGTTATATAGAGCAATATCTTTTGGAACAATAGATGTTATTTCATTCTTCGTGTTCAAAGTAGAACATTCGTTAACGCAAGCTGATGGCTATTCTGTTTGTCACTTTTATAAATTTGACCCTTACTTAGAATTCATAGTAAATTTATCGTTAATGATTGTGTGCATCAAATTGAATTTTACATTTATAATATAAGACTGTGCGTGTTTTAAAATCGCATTGTATATTTTATAAAGGCAAAGTGAAGATTTGCAAACCTGTCTGAATAGAATGGAACAGTACTTGGTTCAAATTGATGAATTGTCTAAACTCCACCCTACTCCTCGTGACATAAAATTGGATGGTACTGAGCACATTTTGGTGCACAGTAATTAAAACTTTGATTCTTCAAATGCAAAAATAAGAACTTGCCAACTGAAAGTGATTCATGTTTTAGGTTCATGACCTATGACTGAAGTCATAAACTTAGTGCAAAATATCTGCTTTGGTTATAGAATTTCCCCTAAGCTAAGCCTTTGGAACAATAAACCTATTGTGCAGATCTTGATTTACATAACTGGACAGAGTTAATTCAAAAAAACTCTCATTCAATTTTGTGTCATGCTTCTGGTTTTTGCTGGATGTAATTTCACCAGAATGCAACATAGGAATCATTGTTAATCTCCCTTATGACTTGCCAATTTTATGTTATTCTGTCGATTAACATGATTCCAAATTGTGTTGAATGAGAACACAACCTGTGTATCTCCCACCGGTAATTATTATACATGACACTTAGGAACAGTGTTAACATGCGGGATTTACATTCTGCCATAACGCTGGGTAGCTTTCAGGACCTAATTTAGGTTGTAAAGATGGGAGAGTAGTGTAAATATATTTAAGAGAATAGATGCCAGATTTTTTAGGAAAAGTATTAAAAAGTTGCTAGCATCCACTACCTTAACTGGTACCTTAACAAGCTTGTTAACTGATTCTGTGACTGTGAAAACCAACACAATACATATTGAACAGGACTGTTTATTGCCCTGTGTTTTTGCATCTGATTTCAGCTTATCAAATGTCCCAGTAGCAAGTTATCTTCTAAGCAGACAACCTTGATCCATGCCTGTTTGTGGGACACTGTTGGGCACAAACTGGCTGCTGTGTTTCACCCACAAAGCACACAGTCAATCACTTTACAGTGTATCTTTGAGATGTCTCGACCACTTGATAAGACTCTGTATCAAACGCAAGAATTATCATTACTTCCTACAGCTGTACCCAAAATTAACTTCTCTTGAGTTTGTGTAGGATGTGCTGATTTCCCGGAGGCACAAACAGACTGTGTTGGAAAATAGAAAACCAGGATACTCCATTCTCAATCTCATCCTTCTGAGGCAAAATATAAATTATGCAAGCATAATATTGCTAATTATAATTCTTTAATTCTACGGAATAAATTACTAAAATAATATAAAGTGTAAAGAATCAACATAATAAAAGGAATTGTACACAGAATGTACCAGTTGTTCAGAATGTAGTTTCAGGATCTCAGCATGTAGTTTCAGATCATTTTAAGTTACCATTCCAGACATGGTTTCATCCTCTATCTGTTTGGGACAGTGGGCCACTTGGGAGAGTACAAGCCAGTGGGTTGAGAGTGAAGCTGAAAAGAAATCTAACTCATTGTGGCCGAAGTGAATAGTTTCTCTCTTGTTCTGTGGAATCAGCAGATTTCTTCAATGTGCCAATCCCTTGCCTTGCACTTTATTATTGTTGGCAAAGTGGGCCTCCCAGCGGGTGTTTGAAATGTCTAAAGACCCTAAAGATGTTTGAATGGGAATGTTGCACTGTTCTTCCAACTCAAGCCTTCTGATGTATTCTCAATCATACTGCACCTCCACTTGTTGTGAATGTCTCAGAAGAATGTTCAATACACACACAAACCTTAACAATTTGCACTTAAATATCACCCTCCACACAGGGTAGGGTTTCAGAGAGCTTAAGAGTGGTGGAGCCTCACTCTGAACCGGAGTGGGGGGCAGGGGGCGGAGGTGACCATAAGTGGTCGAAGAGGAATGTTTTAGGCGGGACTTGAAAAAGGGGTGAGAGAGGTAAGGCGGAGGGATTGAGGGAGAGTGTTCCAGAGTTTTAGGGCGTAGTAGCTGAAAGGGTAATGGCTGAAACAAGACACTTATATGGATTTTGCATCCTTCTGCAATGCTTTAAAATAGACAGACTGTGTTTGAATGGTTCTATTCTGACCATTCTCTTATTTGTTATTTTTATGTATAACCTATATCCTTAAAATGCTGTTCCATCTCCTCAATAGCCATAACAAATAGTATGATATTTATTCAATCTTTCGCCACAATCCACACACCTTATGCCAGGTTAATATGTTGCATAGCGAAATGTGAACCGTACATGCCCTGCCATTAAGCTCATGTTTATATCCCATTACATGATCTGATTATAAAATATGTTTACTTGTTTCAGGAGTGTTATCTCTGAACTTTCTCTGTGTAATAAATAAGCAATTCTCGATATGAATATGATGGAGAGGAGTCCTTTACTCGGCAAGGTCTGTAATAATTCATAAAATTAATTCCAATTGTCTGTATGTTCTTTAACTAAACATTGCAGCTGAGAAGAGAATATTAAAATCAAATCAGAGTAGGTGTAGTGTGTTTAACAAGTAGAAAATGTTGAAATGTACAGATCACAGTCCAGAAATGAGTTGCACGTTTTAAGCCCAAGAGCAGAGTGTATCAACATTGACTTGTAAATTGGAACATGTTAATGGTTAATTTATTTCACTATATTCTTGTAGGACCATGTTTCGCAGGAAATTTTGATGTTCCATAAAAATGTTCCAATTTATATTATCCAGATCACATTTCTGTGGCATGACCCAAGTTGCTGCACTGTGCACACATGTATTTAAATAGAGTACAAGTCAAAATCAGCTATTTTCAGCTTTCTACAGCTTTCGCCCGCAAGGCCCTATTTGAAGTATGTGAGCAATTTGGGGCATCTAATCTTCAAAAAATTGAGGCAAGGCCATTGATGCATTCTGAGACATTTCTGAGAAAAATTACCAGAATTTGGATTCTTAAGTTATAAAGAGACTTTTCATTAGAAAAAAAAACATTGAGATGACTACATCTAATGAGAGATGTGAATCGTGCAGATGTAAGCAGACAAATTAACTGCTGCTATGAGCTTACAACTAGGGAGAAAAGCATCAAGTTAACAGGAATGGAAGATTTTTTCCTCAAATGGAACAACTGCATTGTTGATTAACACATTTTAAACAAGAAATATATTCTGGGAATAAGATTGAGACTAGAGCATAAAACAAGAGAGATATTTAAGTACCCAGTGGAATATGTTAGTGTGTTTACTCCCGGCACAAGGAAATATCACTGATGGAATTCAAACGGACAGGACTGTATCATGTACGTTGAAAGATTAGACCGATATTCTGGAGTCACTTAATTATGCTCTTCCCAAAGACAATAGCTTTGATAGAAATCGACCACAAAGAAATAAAACGGAAATGCACCCAACAATTTAATAACTAAGAAATTCTTAGGTACAGTTACAGGCTTGGTGATTCTACAGGTACAAAGTACAGTGTACAATTCAATTGAAAGTATTACACATTAAAAAAATCTTTGATGATCTACATCTACACTATTACAGACATCAAAGAGATCAATCTACATCCAAAGAAATGCTAAAACGTAAACTTGGAATGTGGCTGTTAGGTGTTGGTCACACTGATACACCATCACATACTGTGGTGAAGATACGAATCGGGAGCTAATCCATTTTTTTAAACCAAATTCCCTTAATTAAAATGGCAAGTCGGTGTTCTCACTCCTTGACGTACACTCGAGTGCAGACAACATCATCAGCAACCAGAGTCTGGAATTTTTTAAAAGAAAGGTACATTTTTACCATTGGTCCCAACTGACTCCAGTGTTTCTAAATAAAAACATGCAATACAAAGTTTGTATTAAATTTAAATGTTGAAAGGAACAACATAGGAAGGATCCAGAACTGAACAAGCTTGATGGTGCAATGAGATAAGCTTTGAGTTGGTTGGTATTCTGGAATGATGAGATAATTGGGGCCTAAAGACTTTCTTCATCCAAATCTCTCTTATCATAATAATAAATACATAATAATCCTTGCATTTGATATAGCGCCTTATCACGTCTTCGAGACATCTCAAAGCACTTCACAGAATATACTGTAAAGTGAATTGACTGTATATTATGTGAGTGAAATATCTTGTCACATCTACCACTACATGCCCCACAATTAAGATATTTTCCCCCTCAGTACATGAGTAGGAGCTGACGATTATTAAAGTTACCGTTAGGCCAAACAGCAAGAACACTATCCTTCTCGTGTCCTTGGCTGAATCTCTTTGCAAACTCTTTGAATTGCTTTTTCTAGCTGGCACAATTAAAAGAGGGCAGAAAACGATTGAAAAGAAACATGCAAGATTATAAAAGTTTAGGCGTTGAAGAATCTTTAAATTGAAAGTCAAAATATTCTGGTGTGTAGAGGTTAGTTTTAAAACAACTATTGGAAACTAAAGTCTAGCACTTGAGGTTGTTACAAAGAAATGAGTTATAGATAAACACTCAGATGCACGTTAATACTATCTTAACAAGAAAAGTAAGTGATACATTTCTATTTTAATATGATACAGGAATGAGTGTATTAATCTGAACGAAAAATATTTATTCCCTTTTCGGTCTTTGCTTTCTTTAAATTAATGTTATTTACTCTGGGAATTGGGTTAATCAGAATAATATCAGAATCTCCTACCAGGATCAATTGACTGTTCACTAACTCTCGTGTCCAATGTGTTTTGGGTCCATCTCCGTTAAGAAGAGTTTGCTTGCAGTAGATCTTGTTCTCACTTTCCCAGCTGGGCAAACTCTGCAAGAAACACAATGAGCATCGCAATAAGCCATAGCTTATTTCACCCACAAAATACACAGTCAATCCACTTTACAATATATTCTGTGAAGTGCTTTACGACATCTCACCGATGTGGTAAGATGCTATATCAAATGCAAGGATTATTATTATTATTATAGTGGTGGCAGGATAAACTACAACATGGAGTAAAACTTGCAGGATTCGTAAATGCATTCCTAAACTTTTTTTTAGGAACACCACCCATGGCATCTCTGAAAGCGACTAGTTTGCTCCACTCAGAGTCTGAGCGCTGTTGTATTGTGTTAACCCTGGGAAGGGTTTCTTGGAAGGATAAAATGCAAGTGTCTCTAGATCAAAAATGTACTTTTTGTACTTTTACTGATGCATGTAACCACCAGCTCTGGGAATTCTGCCCCCATTCTAAGTCAATTCAATGAGGGAGAAAAAACATCCTTGGGATTTTTATCTTGAGTTCAACTGCAACTGCCAATTGCTAAAATGCACACAACTGATTTGATTGGTTTAATTTTGACATAGTATGATTTATACTAAATATAAAGCTCTCTATCCAACAAGACAGCAGGCAAGATATGGTACAATGTTTTGATGTAAAATTACACTAAGGTTAAGGAAACTAAAGAACACTGAATAAATACTGTGATGAACATTCATTATACTGAACAACTTACTTGTCTTTGCAGTTATCCAAGTGTATCTTTATTCAAGTACATTTTATAGGAGATAGTAAAGGGAAAGTCTCTTTGTCAGTGAACTTTTAAAATTCAGGCTAAGAAAACAAATTTTGATTAACTTTAACTTGTTTGTAGCATTCACCGTTTGTGTTTTTGCTGGTAATCAATGACAACTGTCATTTAATTATCTTAGAGCTAAATATTAATCCTTTCGGAAGATTGTTCTTACAAACGCATGGAGCATCTTGGAAATTGAATGTTTCTGCCTGATGCTCACTGATAGATAAAGAGTCTTAGGAAACATTAAATAACTCACCTGGAAATAATTGTGAAGTATACATTAAAAATTTGGTATAGATCCAAATCTCATCTCAGGTTCAGATATCTGCTAAACCTTCTCAAGCTTGGCTCCACAGTCCATCTGGACTTTTTAATAAGCTTACTCCCTGCCACTCATGTGCTGATGAGGGACTGTGATTTACCAAATACTGTGAAAAGCTCATCAATGGTTAAAAGTCTAATGCTGAGATCACTAAAGCGAAAGTTAATCATTGTGTCAACTAAGGCTCATTTGGCTGCTTTGCAGTGTTGCACCAAACAAGCAATCATCTACACTCTTTGCTCGAACTAAAGTATTCAAAAACAACTAACAGAAATAGATAAATAAATAATAAAATAGCATTACATATGTATTAAATAATAAATAAATCATTAAAGTTAATCTTTGTAACTATTAATATTTAATGCAAATCCTGAAATTGAGCCACTAGAGTGAATGTTTCCCCTTGGATAATTTAGCAGTTAGCACCTTCAAGTGCATAATGTTTTTGTGAATCTGTTTGTATATGTGAGCATGTGTTTGGGGTGGGGGGTGGGAGTGGGGATTTCTCCTCTATTTTTAAGCTAACATCTTGTGTGAATAGGTTTTTGAAAAATGTCAGATACATAACAAAGCACATTTAATTCCACTCAGCACTGTGATTAAGCACGAGTGCCGGAGTCTATCAAGGTTTAAAGAGTGATTCTCTGATTGTCAGTAAATTTACTGATCTTGGCAGTCAAGAACATCTTATTCCCTGCCAGTCTGCAATTTACAGACCTTGGTGGTGTGAGCTTATAATGGGATTTTCCCATTATAAACTCACACTGACAAGGTCTGTAAATTTAGAGAACAGCAGGAGTAAGAAGCTTTCGCCTGCCAAGGTAAGGGTCTGTAAATTTACGAACCTTTAGAGAATCACTTCTTTTATCTATGTGGCTTTGCACTCAATGTTAAATGAATGTCTACTTTAATCTGCAAGTTTAAGAGTTGCTCAGACGTTGGGGAGTGAGTTGTCTGTGTTATAATTGATAGATGTTAATTTAATTTGACATGAATAACCACATAATACATTACAAATGATGGAATAGCTAACTATTCACTTTTACTGTTGCCCGTGTGAGTTACTTATTTATCTATTCGTTGCATCTTATTATTGTATTATCTCATTACAATATACTTTCATCACCAGATATCCTTGCCTTTTGTCTCCTATTTTATTCTGTTTAAATGCAATAGTTGTACTGTACATCATTGTGAACACCTTAATTTCCTACTTATTTAAATGCAATAAGATATAAACCCCTATGTAAACCATCAAAGTATCTTATCGTTTTCTTGCCTTGCATTTTCTCCCATCCACTGTTTCTTCTTGAAACTCCTCTCCGACTTTAAAATTGATTTCAGTTGTTCTGACTGTGGTTGAAGTTTTGATGTAAAACTGGTCTCCATCCTGCTTGATCTCCACCAAAGGTTTGGATGCAGCAGCCACAGCCACTGTCCTCAGCATAGCATTCACGCCTGAACAGAACACAGCAAAGCTCATTACATTTATTGAACAAATTAGACACTATCTTTAGCTCCAGAATGTAACTAAACAGTCAGTGGCATTCACAATATCACCAGATGAGAGGTATGCATCACTGAGCTAAGACACAATTACAAATTGCATTTATTTTCATTGTATTTGTCTCTACCTTGTATTTTTATGTTTTGATCTCAAGCAAAAAACAAGATTTTTTTGCAAAAATTGATGCACTTCATAATTTACAAGACAACGTCAATTAAATGATGCTAAGAATAACCAGGGTAATTGCATTATTCACAATAACACACTAAAGGCACCAGCTATTTTGCCTTGAGACCTTAATCCTTTTAATTTTTTTTATGATTTAACATATTTATAAGCCATCCCAACAATCTGTTTTTGTTAGTTGGATTACACTTTGTATTAAATGCGAAGATCTCCACGAAACACATGAATCATTACAAAGGCATGTTATGAATTGCAATTTATATTTATATGGTATTTTGTAATTTTTAATAATGATTTTCTGCACCATTTTGATATTTGATATTATAAAGCAGAATTTAAAGAGCTATAAATAAGAGTTTATTTAACTATACAGTGTTTGTGCAATGTTTCATTTTTTGATAAAATCCTAGTGTGCTTTTCATTGTAGAAATAAAAAATAATGTTCAAAGATGAAACAAAGCAAATGAGCCAATGTCTCACTCATTTATTCAAAAAACAACAGTGATCTTGAAGTGGATGGATCAATGCAGTAAACTTCAGCAGCAGCAAACAGAAATAAATTGGAATCATTAGGAAAAGAAAGAAAATCTTACCTAATACTTTCAACATCTCATCGAAATTCTCACTGCTCTTCATTTTCCAAGTGCCAGCAAAGTTGGGCATCTTGTATGGCTGCTGCTGTCGTAAATCCTAGATACTGTGCTTGTAGGTGTAGAGTGAAGCAGTTCCTGATCACTGGCTCCTCTCAGACACAGCTTCCAGCTGATCTCTCGCTCTTTCTATTTGTGCCACTCATGACATGAAAGGTCTCAGCTATGAGTCACATTGCGCCCCTGGTGTCTAAACCCACCCATCAGCAGTCTTATATTTAAAGTGACAGCATCCTTTTTATTGTACTTCTTTGTGGATGGAAATCATGCCCACAACATGCGACCGTTTACTTATTCTTCACTGATGTGAACAAAAATCTACTTAGTAGATTTGCTGAATAAAATAGCAATTCTACTCCAGACATCATCTAGTATTCATAGTTCTACAAAACCAAAGCGCAACTCATAATGTTTGGTAACCTGGACATTTATGAAATGGGATTAGTTAATATTTCAAGAGCTTAAATAATAATAGATTGATATTTTCTCCTCCACTTTGTACTATACATGGTCATTATACTTTGTTGTTCAACATAGTGAAAGGATTCAGTCTAGAGTATTCAGTCTTAGGCTATTTTGAATGTACCATCAGGAGTTGTTGGATGACAATCAGAAGTCGGAACTCAAGATGATTTTCCTGTTCCTTACCCAGGGACTAGGAGTACAATAGTAGCACCACAACTGCTGCCCCACCTGTGACCTAACTCGGAACAAATGAGGAATAAAATAATCTCAGTTCAAGGTTCAGGGTGTCAGTTATCTTAGTTGGTAGCACTCATTGCCTCTGGATTATAAGGCTATGCATTCATGCCCCTCATCGGGACTTGAACTACAGTCCAGGCTCAGATTCTACAGGAGTGCTGAGGGAAAGTTACTTTGCTGGGAGTGCGATCATTTGGATGAGATATTAGCAATGTCTGGCTGTTCACATGAATGTCAAAGATCCTACTGCATTATCTGTAAAGGAAAAGGGAGCTTCTCCCAGTGTCCTGGCTAACCGTCCTCCAGATAAATTGGTCATTGTGTTCCTGTCAGTTTGTGAGACAAATGTGCAATTTGTCTGCCTATAAATACATATTCACTGCACTTTACAGCAATTACCTGTGAACTACTTTGAGATATTATGAAGTTCTGGGTGCTACATCAAATGCATAGATTCATAGAAGTCACAGCTAAGAAACAAGCCATTCAGTCCACCAATATTCAGCTGGTGTTTTCATTATCAAGTATACAAAGTTTTTTTTTAATAAAAAAAACTTTTGTTGAATAGTGCCGTGTGATCTTTAATGTCCATCTGAACAAGCAGACGGGATATGGGTTTAATGTCTCATCAGAAGGACTGTCCTTCTGACAATATTAGACACCCCTAGCACTGCATTGGAGTGTCAGATTCTATATTAGTTTAAGTCTCGATGTAGTGGCTTGAAGCCACAACCTTGTGACTCAGAGGCGAGAGTGGTACGACTGTGCTAGTCTGACACACATTTCTGTGATTCTGAGCAAACAGCAAAACAAATGAACTGTTATTTATATATTGATAATGAAAGGCTGCTTGACAGCTTAATGACCTGCTAATTCAGTGACTGTGGAAGGAGAACAGATGGAATTTCAGAGTCACTTTTGGTGTGACAACATCGGGTGTAAACAACACCACAAAGTTTTCCCGATGCAAAGGGACGCACCTTGACAAAAATTGCAGCATCACATCAAAACATTTGGGAAACACAGGAGAAAAGATTTGCAGTACTTTTCAGTAACAGTGCCTCTTTAAAATGCCTTGGAAGAATAGGTATGCAAATTCTCATTATGTTGGGCCATCTCTTGCAGAGATAATCCATAACTACTGCCAATTTTCAAAGCTTTCCTATTTAAAATGCAATGTTGTAATGGGGTGACAGCCTAAAGAGTTATAAATTGCATTGGTCAGAGACTGCTGCTACCTTCCTTTCTAATGACTATTAGCTGATAATGATTAATTTTTTGGTGCACATTAAGAAGTATATTAAAAAACAAACTTTTAATATTTGAATTCTGGTGATATTGTGTTAAGCTTTAAAATATAAGATAAAAACAGAAGCTTTAATCTGTGCGCAAGATATAGATCAGTGTGAGGGTTATTGATCAAGTATTGCTACCTGCCTAATCCCCGAGGCAAGATCAGGGCTTTGGCTCAAGCTCATCAATCTTCCAAAATTGCTCCAAATTACTTTACAACAAAAGATTGTCGCAGCCATACAGATGGGGCTTTGGGGCTCTACTTCCCTTAACAAATTTGCTTAAATTGATAATAATAAGACTAAGATGGATCTTTGCATTGATTGACTAAAGATCCAGAAAGATTTTAGTGAATGAGAGTCCTTGTTCAACCGTTATGAAAGCAATAAGCTACATTTATCTGAGGTGCTTCAGAAATGGTTGGAGCAAAAAAGAATACACGATGAATTATTTCTGAGGTGGGCTTAAATAAATCATGCCACTAGCATTTAGGTAGCAAGGAAATAGAGTAAAATAAGTTAGCACACGTAACAAGCTATTTTTTTTAATCAGCCATGCATTGAAAAGAAAGCAACACCAGACCATACAGTTGTGAAAGGTTGCCGGTTTGAATCCTGGTGTGCGTTGAGTGAGTTGATTTTAGCTGGGACAGCAGTTTGGATGTTACAATAGGACTCATTGCTCCTGTTTAGAATAACTAAAATCAGCCAGGGTTCCCTCTCATTATGCAGAGACCCTGCTGGAAACTGGACCCCTGCTGGACATCAGGTAAAGACAGGATTGGGCTTGGCTGTGATGAATAACCTGGCAAAACTCACTGAGAAGACTCACACATGAATAATACAGGAGTAACTTGGGTAAATTACCAGAGATTGAACCAAAGTCCATCAGAAACTAAATGCAAAGCGTCCACTCTGGACCACCCTTGTACACCACCCGGCAGCACTTTATAGACCAACACTGGCAGACCTCAGGAGGTGTCTGGTGTTGGGAGGCCCAGGGATGGAGACAAACACCCTAAAAAAGAGAAACTGTCAAACAAAGTAAACTGTAAAAATAGTTAGTTGTTTCACTCTGCAATTTAAATAATATAATGTAAATTGCAGAACTAATCGTATTCAATGTTGACTGTCGAACAAAAATATGCTTTGGTTATGCCAGTAAGGTATTCAACCACAATATAAGATATTATTCACCAGATCAATCTGAATTCTACATTATTAAGGTATTGAGAAATATTCATCCCTCGTTCGAAACATGGAATGCAACAATGTCAATCACAGTTTGAAAATCTCATTGCAATCTCAGCTCTCTTCCTCAACAAACAATAATTAACCCTATTTAGAACAGCCGATGTGTATTATACAAGCTTTGGGATCATGTAGATCACCAGCTGTCTGTATCTTATCCGACAAAGACAGGCAGCTTGTTTAATTCACATCCATTGATCCAATTAAAAGCATTCCCTCTCTTCCCTCTGTGTATATCCTATTGGACTTGATTTCTAGCAAAGATTTTGTGAAAAGTTGTTGAGCTCAAGAATAAAGGCTATTGTCAGTGAGCAGGAGAGTTGGATTAGAGAAGGTGACTCATGAAAAAGGAACATCAGTGTAGATGTGATGGGCCAAATTCTGTGCTGTGACATGTTTTGATTCCATGATTCTAAATGACTCATTTGCTGCTTTACAAGCATGGATGACTCCATTTTTTTGTAAATGATAATGCAATTGCATTTCCCACAAGTTGAACTTAGGCATGCCAGATACTAATACCAATTGGTTAGTGTTTTATTAAATATATCATTAAAATGTTTTTTGCCTTTATCTTGCATGGTATTGTTTAATTACTAATGTATTCTACATTGTATCTGCAGAGGAAAGTGTCCATTTCACGCTTCTAAAATCTGCTTTCTGATAAACAAATTGCACACCAATTTGTAAAGGATTTTTATTGCTTCACAGTGAGTGCAAAGCATGATGGAGCAGACTCACACATGACCCAGCTTTCTCAAACTGAAAGTAGCTTTTGAGGTACTTAACCTAGTGTACTTCCTTGAGGGATTCGAATAGGAAAAAGCAGCAATGCCAACCTCACTCTGGAAACAATCTGTGGAGACATGAGTTGCTAAAAATGGATACTCAATTATTAAAACATAAAACCTTAAGTAAAGCATCAATTTCAGCTGACAATTGGGAATTTTTAGACACCATACAGTACATTTGAGAGCACCAGTCTGTTGTATGGAAATCATGCAGAAAACAATATCTTTTCAAAGCAAAACTTAACGGATCATTGAGGAGAGATGATGAAGACGAACACAATGTGAAGGGCAGCAGATTAGCAGCTTTATTGATTTTCCCCCCTATGTATTCTGGCTGATAGGCTGGGCCAATAGAAACGTGCAAAAATATTTGCCAAAAATTGTGAAGAAATTTGCAATTCTGTGTGAAATTGCGGGGAGATTGGGCAAATTTTGCAGAGAATTGTGGGGTGGGTGGGGATGGGGGTTGATTGGTGCTATTGAGGTACATTTTGCTGCATTTTTTCACTTTATTCAAAATACAAAGAGACATATACACAAACACATAGAGGAGAGTGGAATTTCTACCCTCACCGGGGGAAGGGGGTGGAGGTTGAAGAGAGAGCACGCACAAACAGAGATTGTCATTGCATTTGTAAAACTCTCAGTTGCTCAGCTTGAATGCTCTTAAACATTTCAAAATACAAATGCTCCTTGTAACCTTTGTATTTCATTCTCAGACTTGTCACTCTTTGGAATAATCCATAACTGTTTGTGGGACGCTGTTGTATGCAATTTGCTGCTGCGTTTCACCCGCAAAATACACAGTCAATAATAACTTATTGATGTTAAAGAGGTTTGTTGTGGCCGCACAAAATCACGCACAGCGGTGACTGCGTTTGAGAAACACTGATCCAGGATAACCTGTTCCAACTCTTTGGTGCCATCCAGTGGTCAAAGGATAGTGAAAAGAAAAATATACAAACTATACACGATAATCCTTGCATCTGATATAGCATCTGTAACATCAAAACAACTCAAAGCGCCTCATAGGGTAGTTGCTATCATGGGAAGCAATTGTGTATTTATAGGTAAACTGCTGCAGGGGGCTATTTTTCTCATGTATTTTTCTTGAAATAGGTGACAGTACCAAAATAATGAGTGAAAGTCATTATTAATAATAACCCTTGCATTTGATACAGTGCGTTATCACATAATTGAGACGTCTCAAAGTGCTTCACAGACTATATTGTAAAGTGGATTGACTGTGTATTTTGTGGGCGAAACGCAGCAGCCTACAATATTCCAAATGATTGGCAATTCTGAGAATGAAAAACAAAGGTTACAAGGAGGATTTGTCACTTGTTGTGTTCTGCCAGGTATCTGAGGCAAGTAAAAAAATACTATTTTTAAATGTTTAAGATCATTCAAGTTGAGCTACTGAGAGTTCCACAAATGCAATGAAAATCTGTTTGTGTGCGAGCTCTCTCTCCAACCTCCACCCACTTTTCCTCGTGAGGGTAGAAATTCCACCCGAGTCGAGTTTCTGTGCATTTCAGAGTGTGCATAACTTGGCAAATTTACTTTACAGTATATTCTGTGAAGTGTTTGAGATGTCTCAAAGACATTATAAGGTGCTCTATCAAATGCAAGGATTATTATTAAATTCTTAATCCCCTCAGCCTCCGCACCATGGGATGTCTTCCAGATGTGATGGACGCTGTATGAATGTAAATTGTATTAATATAATAATAATCCTTGTATTTGATAGTGTCTTCTCATGTCTCAAAGCACTTCACAGAATATACTGTAAAGTGAATTGACTATATATTTTGTAGGTGAAACACGGCAACCAACTATGCACTGCAGTGTCCCACAAACAGTCGTGGATTGAAGTGACCAATTTATTAATTTTTTTTGAAGGAATTATTACCCCCAGAAAAGTAATCAGCCAATCGACTAACAACTGGGTTCCTAGTTATTACTGTGAGATAAACAGAGGCGTATGAAGTAAGGAAACCTGCCCAACATTTCGCCCTGCCGGGAATCGAACCCAGGTCTCTGGCTTGCGAGGCGAGTGCTCTAACCACTGAGGTACAGGACTCCACAATTAGTGTATTAAGAACATAAGAATTCGCTTGGCAAAAGAAGACCATGTTCCATCTAGTCCGCCTTCCCCCATCCTGGCAGTCACTTGACATCATGTCGTGTCCCAAACTCCGTACTGTATCCCGAGATACGGTTTTCTTGCAGAAATCTATCTAAAGTTGGTTTCGAAACAAACGACCTCGGGCCGCGCGCCAGGTCTGAACTTGGACCGCCAAAGAAATGATTCCATGATTTGATAATAATAATAATCCTTGCATTTGATATAGCGCTTTTCACGTCGGGAGGACGTCCCAAAGCGCTTCACAGAACACACTGTAAAGTGAATTGACTGTATATTTGTGGGCGAACGCGGCAGCCAATTGCGCACAGCAATGTCCCACAAACAGTCGTGGATTGAATATGACCAATTTATTACTGTTTTTGATTTTGGAGGGATTATTATTATTATTATTATTAGGCTCTGTGTGGAGCAAGGACACTTGCCCAAGGTTTCGCCCTCTGCCTGGAATTGAACCCAGGTCTCTCGCTTGCAAAGCGAGTGCTCTAACCACTGAGCCACAGGACTCCACTTTGCCAAGGATCTGCTCACTGTTGGGTACAGTAACAGAAAAGAGATTGGAGCTGAGGTGGAGGACGCAGAGGCTGGAGCTCAGGTGGACTGTGGCTGAGCCTCAGAAGAACCGAAGAAGCCTCAGAGGCTCAGCTGTGACACTGTAGCTTTGCTGCCTGTCTGGGGCTGGTGGGCGGGGCGAGGCGGGGGGGGGGCGGGGCGGTACTCGCGCATGCGCACCTTCTCGCCATCGCCCCCCGCGCACGCGCGGTGTCCCAGCATGCAGCGGGCGAGCTGTCATGGCGGCCTGTTGATCGCCGCGCGGAGGTTCGCCGTTGTCAGGGGGAGCGGACACGCGACCAACGGCCCGGTTTCCGCAGGTCGGTGATTCAACCCCCCCCCCCCCTCGCGCCGCTTCTCTCTCACGGAATCCCCCCCCCATCGACTTCTGCCGCCGACGGTTCCGTTTTTCTGGGCCTGACTTGCTGTCTCTGTCGCTGTGAGCGAGCGCTTACTTTTTTCTCGGGCGCGTTCGTTTTGTTGTTGGCGGCCCCCGGGCCCTTCCCTCCCACCCATCCGGCGGCCGCGCTTCCAGCCGCTGCCCCTCGGAACTCTGGAACTCTCTCCCTCAAACCCCCCCCCCCCCCCGACCGAGTCTTTGCCCTCTTCAGGTCCTGTCTGAACGCCTCCCTCTTGGACCGAACCTGCGGTCACCTCCCCCACCTCCCTCCGAGCCGGCGTCGTGCTCTGCGACTGTCAACAACAGAGGCAACAACAACTTGAATTTATATGTCAAAGGATTTCCTCCTTGAGCCAAGGACTCTATATCAATGCAAGTTGTTGTTGTTTTATTTTGCTGAGTTCTGTGGGCCTTTTCTGCACAAACTAACCAGCTCAGGGCGATATCAGTCATGTCGTACCTCACCTAATAAATAATAATAATCCTTGCATTTGATACAGCGCTTTTCACGTCGGGAGGACGTCCCAAAGCGCTTCACAGAACACACTGTAAAGTGAATTGACTGTATATTTGTGGGCGAACGCGGCAGCCAATGGAGCACAGCAATATCCCACAAACAGTCGTAGATTGAAAATGACCAATTTATTATTGTTTTTGGTTTTGGAGGGATTATTATTAGGCTCTGTGTGGAGTAAGGAAACTTGCCCAAGGTTTCGCCCTCTGCCTGGAAATGAACTCAGGTCTCTCACTTGCAAAGCGAGTGCTCTAACCACTGAGCTACAGGACTTCACGAACTGTTCATTGGTAAAATGGCTCGTAAATAGTAACTTTTATTTTGTGAATGAAGATGGTCTTCATTTGTCGTTAAACATTTCGATTTAGGAGATGATCAGTTTTATCCGATCTGGATGTGTAGCCAATCATAATAATAGTCAAACTAGTTTGGCTTATTTGAATCAAAACGATCTGTTGGGAGTGCTGAATGGGTTGCAACCTGCAAAGTAAACTTTATCAAATTTATCAAAAAATTTGTAGTGTGGTAACTCACATTATTGGAGTATTCACCGAGTTGAGGATACTTAGACTTCCTATTTGGCCTGCTCCCTAGTAACATGGATTCCCCAGTCAGATTTAGCTTAGCACATACTGCTTTCCTTTCTGCTAGAAGGTAAATGTTTGCTTAAAAAAATGTTTTACAGGCAATAATTGATTCATCTGTGTTTATCTTTGATGGAAAGTTAATCAAACTGGAAAAATGAGCACTCAGGTAAAAGAAAAATGATCAATTAATCAATTATTTTGTAAAAAAAACGTTCAGTGTGCTGCATTTTAGATTTCTGAATAGTCTACGTGCTAACATTTATCTTTCTATTTTCAGTACAGTATACTTTTCAAACAAGAGCATGGTATGTATATTGAATTCAGTGTCCCTTTCTATTTAGTGAATGCTTTGACATTTTAAATTTTAGTGGTTTTCTTTCAAGGAATAGTTATTTGATGTTGATTTTTACATGAGTTAAACTAAATAATTTGACATTTGTTTTGATAGCGCATGAAGATTCTATCTGGTCTGTGGCTTGGGGAAAGAGTGAGAAGGATGCATCTGAGACCATAGTGACAGGCTCGTTGGATGACCTAGTTAAAATCTGGAAATGGTAATTTTACATTTATGAATCTTTAAATGCAATTTGGAAACAGAAATTAAATTCATGCTGTTCAAAAGCTAGCAGTCCTCCAGTGAGTACATTGATGTTTTATTAAAAACGTAAATGATGTGATGTAAAACTCTTAAATTAATTTGTTTCTACATCTTTCCTTCAGGTTGGATGAGAAGTTAGAGCTGCAGTGGACTCTGGAAGGACATCAGCTTGGGGTTGTGTCAGTGGACATCTGTCACACAGGCACCATTGCTGCCTCCAGTTCTCTGGATTCACATATACGGCTATGGGATTTGGAGACAGGCAGACAGTTGAAGTGTTTGGATGCAGGACCAGGTAATATTGAACAAAATATACATGGCAAAGTTTGCTTCTTAAACTGTTAGCTATAAATTAGATGGTGATTCTAAGATTGGGCACTTATGCCTTGCACAAGGTGGGTAAAGCTTGTATGGTTCCTTAATATATTTTCCTATTTATCTTAGAGTGAAGGAGCTACCCTCCAAGCACTATTTTACCATAATAATCCTTGATTTGAATTTGATTTAGCTTCTTTCATGTCAGGACGATATCTCAAAGCGCCTCGCAGGTTTAACTGAAGTGTAGTGATGGTGTATCTTGCAGGAAAACTATTAATATTTCTTAACTTTCAAATACAACAATTTTAATTAACATTTTTTTCCCCCCAGTTGATGCCTGGACAGTGGCCTTCTCTCCAGATTCCAAATATTTGGCAACAGGCAGTCACTTGGGAAAAGTGAATATATTTGGCGTTGAAAGTGGAAAGAAAGAACATTCCTTGGATACGAGAGGAAAATTTATCCTAAGTATTGCATATGTATGAAACCACTGATTTTTTTCTTCATGGAACAAAATTATTGCTGTGCGTTTTTTCGGGAGTGAGGGATGTGTTCCAAACCTTGCTTCTAGTGAACTGTGCAGCCCTGTTATTATTTGGCTTGCTAGAGTGCAGTTCACTTTTGAGTGGTCTGCGGACCCATGGATACCAGAAGTGACGTACACATCTGGTGTGAACTGTCTGGTTTCCTCCACTAAACAATGACCACCCTCCAGATCATCAGGTTGCCTTTGATGTCACTTCCTGTGAAGTATCTGCTTGCTCAATGAGCGGGAAGCACCACTCGTGTCACTTTGCAAAGGGGATGATATTGTGCAGAGCAGTGTGCAGGAAGTGATGCTCCCTCATCTTCACTTATTGAGCTCTCAGTAGACTGATCCTTTGTTCATAAGTGAGTAAAGGGTGATCGTTCACAATTTTTTTGCATTATTGTACATTATTGTAAATGGGTAGCACTATTCTCATGTCGGGAATTAAAATAAACATTTTCATGACCCATTAATTATCAATTGAGAAAATATTTACTAATAAGTAAATTTACGTGTGTTGAGTATATACTGCCTAATGCTTTCAAAATGTGCTAAAGTAACTGAGTGAACACGAAAAAGTCTGAGAACAGTTGTTTGCTGAGAGGTGATTAACACAAAATGTACCTTTATTGCAGAGTCCTGATGGGAAGTATCTAGCCAGTGGAGCTATAGATGGTATTATCAATATATTTGATATTGCAACTGGAAAACTTTTGCACACCTTGGAAGGTAAAAGTAACAAAACATTTTTAGTGGTGGTAGTCATGATCTTGATTTGAAAGATCATTAACAGTTAAAGCTTAATTTTTTTCAGTTTGGCACACCTCCTCCTGCAGAAAGATTATTGGCTCTTTAGTGCTTGAAGGTTGTACTTTACAACTAATATGAAGTCAATTAATGTACTTTTCAAACGTTTCCCCTTTTGCCTCCTTTTTTAAAAGAAAAGATTTTTGAAGTAAGTAGAATTGTGATGTCTGAATTGTTCTATTTCAGAGATTTGAGTTATTCATTGTGTCATTTGTTTAACTTTCAGGGCATGCCATGCCAATTAGATCCTTGACCTTCTCTCCAGATTCACAACTTCTAGTTACAGCCTCTGATGATGGTTACATCAAGATTTATGATGTGTAAGAAGTTTCTCTCTCTCTATCCATAGTCTTGATTATGATGCTCAAAAAGAATAACTTGTTGTTAATGTTTGCCACAGAAATTCAGATTATATGGAATGAAACCTTCTCGTAAAGTAATTGGTAAAAGTAACTAGTCCTTATATGATATTCTGAACACACAGTTTTGCCCAACGCTCCATTTCTTGATATATCACTTAAGGGGTTTTGAAATGCCTCAATTATATCAGATTTTACTATTTTACCATTATAATTCCACTTAATATAGATGTTGCTTATCACTATAATATATAACAACCTTAATATCCTGTGGCTATAATTAAAGTAGTTCTTGTCCTCCTGATCCTTTCTACAGACAACATGCCAATCTTGCAGGCACCCTGAGTGGTCATGGTTCTTGGGTGCTTAGTGTTGCTTTCTGCTCAGATAATACACACTTCGTATCCAGGTAATATTGGATGATTATCAAATAAATATTCTGTTTTAATAAGTTTCAGCATCCAACTGCTTTGTGTTTAAAAGTAGACAGCTGAATTCCATAATTATTTCTGTTGATGTTTAGTGCTGCAGTGTTGCTATGTTCCTTGCTATGCAGGGATTCTGTTTTACTGCACCTTGTGCATAAATTTTTTTGCTTGCGTTTTCCTCTTATTTTCCCACCACCCAGACTGAAACGCAGATACTTAACCTAGGTCTTTCACATTGCCTGTGCGAAAATAACTCTAGGGATGTCTCTCCCTCCATAAGAGGAGCTTGGAATCATCTCCAGCAGAAAAGTATTGCTAAGACAGCAATTCCTTAATTTAACTTTTACTGCTCCATGTTATCTCATTCATACTCCAATGTGCCAGCTGTTGTTTTTTTTTATCCGAATGCAAATGTTACTTGTATTTCAAGACTAGTATGCAACTTCAATTTGCATCCGTTCTGATCAGCAAAATACTTTAATTGGAACGTATAAAGTTCTCAGTATTTTGAAATAATTTAGAAAAATTATTTTGAAGGCTATTTTTAAAATCAGGAATGCAGAATCCCTCAGCTTAATCCATTGTTAGTAACAAGTTTGTTCCTAATTCTGTAACAGCTCTTCTGACAAAACTGTTAAGGTTTGGGATGCTTCCTCAAGAACCTGTGTTCATACATTTTTTGACCACCTGGATCAGGTAATTATTATTACAATATTGATTGTACATGTTGAAATAGATCCGGCATATGAATTAATTACAATACAAATTTAGATTTATATAGTGCCTATCACAATGGGAAGCCATCCCAAAGTGCTTAACAGTACTGACTGGACACCTAAGTAACGGGGTAAGGAGATTAAGGGTGTGGCGAGGGGAAAGATGACTATAAATGCAATCAAAGAGGTAGATCTTGAGAAGGACCTTGAATGAGGTGAGAGGACTTGAATTCAGATGTAAAAATATTACAATTTTTGTAATTACAATTGGCTGCTGAGTTTCGCCCATACAGTCACTTTACTTTACAATATATTCTGTGAAGCACTTTGAGACGTCTAGAAGACGTGAAAAGCACTATATCAAATGCAAGGATTATTATTATTCGTCTAGTCTAGTGCTCTGGGACGCTACCATGTGTGAGGGGTGCCATATAAATGCAAGTTATTGTTGTACTGAATTATTCTTGCTCATAATCGCTTATATTTATGTTATCTCTGACTCTAATCTTTTATGTTCAACAGGTCTGGGGTGCCAAATACAATGGAAATGGATCCAAGATTGTCTCTGTTGCAGACGATCGTGAAATCCACATTTATGACTGTCCAATTTGAATTTTCCTTCCATTGCTTAGATTATAAACTTGCGGCCAGGGTCCATAAGATGTATGAAGTTCCCATTTATAATACTGGTTGGTGCCTCCTTCTGGTGTATAAATACTTAATTTTTTTAAATGAATGTGCCCGTTATAGCACCTAATATGTAGGGAAACCAAAGCAACGATTAGAATTTATTTAAAATGGATGACCATTGCTTTCAAATATTCATTTCCTTTTGGTGTGATTCATAAGGAAGTATAGTATATGCCTTTTTGGAAAACTGTTGAAAAGATCATATGTCCTCCATGAAATGTTCCTGCCTTTGGTTCTACTTTTGAAGTTGTCTGAGCTGTTTAACAGATAAATGTGATTTTATAAATATTGGCTTGTTTTATTGCAACTTCAAATAATGCTGTCAATTTTGAGCTTCAATGATACACAGTAGCCATGATTTAGTTTTATCTGATTCAGAATGGAAGAGATTTTGGTTGCTGTAGATTGTAGGTAAAAGGGAAGAGTAAATTCATAGATTCTGCTTCAAGGAAGTTAATTTGTGTGAGTCTAATGTGATTAGGAATATGTGTGAAGGTCTGAGGATATGATTTACTCTTTTGTAGAATATGCAATAGAATTGGCCAATTTAAGGAAAATTAAATAATCCTAAACCGAAGACTGGATTATTTTGTTGTGAAAGCTAAGTGAATTATTACGGTTCAGTCATTCTTATACAAATCAGTTTTATTAACAGATCATTATTAAGGGCAAGGGACAGAAAATTATGATTTTTTGCAATCTCATAAGCAAACTAATCACTAAGACTGTTTAATGTAGTCAAGTAATATGGCCTACATTCTTCAGTTCTGAGATGAGGTTCTCATATTTCAGTATGTACAGAAGTAACAGTAAGCAATACTTCTACAATCACCCAGAACAAAGTACAGAAATACAGTATTAGTTCATGAACAAAATCTTTATTACATTTTCTTCCCTACCCGTTAAAAATATTTCCACACTAAAGCTGTTCAAGCATACAAGAAATATAGTGCAGAATGGCCTATCTTGAATAACCAAACCAATGCTTTAATATTAAAATAGTTTTGATGCATTGCAGTCCATTTTTTGTGACATTGAGCCACTGTTTAGGATGTCTGGCACTGAACTCCTCCTCTGGGGCTTTCATCTTCCTCATATGCCTCTCCAGTATAACGTTTAGATTGTTCTGTTGAGATAAATTCTGTTAATTCGACCTGTTCCATGTCATCAGTTATCATTACATCTTCACGTGGTGGAAGATGGGCCTCCAATTCAGCCAGTTCGTTTGGTGGAATCCAGCCATCCAATGGAAATTTCACCTATAAAGGAAGTAATATAAGACCACTGTACAAATCCCAAAGTTAGTTGTTTCACTAATTATACTAACCTTTAACTTACCGAGAACTGAATTATTAACTGTCCTTTTTCAAATGGATTTCGGTGAATTGGCATTCCTTCATTAAAGACACATTTAAAACCACCAGGTTTTATAACTTCACCTGAAAAATAGATAAAATAATACCAAATAATTGTGCATTTTACAATGCAGGTCCTTTCAGTAAAGCCAGTATTTTATCCTAACTGGGTTTCTTCACAGGAACTAAACACATTTATAAAAACTTGTCACCTTAGATTACAGTGTGAATTACTTAACCATGGCTTTAAAGTTTAATTACTTTAATTAAAGTAAAAGGCTCTTTATAGCACACCACCAATAGAGTTGTTCATATTGCCGGGCCTTTTGTGGAAAAAAAACAGATGATTTGGAAATGCCAGTGATTTAACTATAGCTTTAGGACTTTTAACAGTACAGACACCAGTAGAATATTCCTCAGTATTAACCTGGACATGAAGTAATCAGAAGTATTCTTTTGTCAAGTGTTTCTAGCGTCCTCTTGAAACCACATAAAGCTTCCACCAGCAGGATCTCCATTTTCATGATTAAATCATTCACATGCCTTCGGAATACATCGTGCTCTTTTTGATCGAGAATAATTATGACATCACCAGGTTCCAATCCTGGCTCCTGATCACCCTCCCCATGGAACGTTATCTTCTGCCCATCTTTAGCACCTTTAGAAATAAAAATAATTCAGGTGAATCTATTTAAAGAGTAACTAATTAATCACTAACCCTAGGTCGTCACAATATGGCTCAACAGCAAAAAACTTCTACTTATATAACAACTTTCTAGTACGGAAATATCTCAAAGCACTACAAAGTCTGAGTCGGAGCCTTGCAGGATAGGAGGAAAGTGACCAAAGAAGTAGGTTTTTAGAAGGCTTCTGAAAGCAGAGAGTGGGTGTGAGGTAAAGGAATTTTAGGAATTTCGGAGTGGGGGAAAGTAGCTTAAAGCCAACATTTACCTTTATCTATGTAAACTTCCAGTATCTTTCTCTCTTTCACAATTTTGCGTCCATTACAGTTCTTGCATCGATCTTTTGGGTTAATTTGTTCACCCTGCCCATGGCATTGTGAACACATTGTCTGTATCTGCTGCACCATTCCAGGTCCAATCTGTTGGACATGGATTTCAATTCCCCTGCCTTTGCAGTTTGAACATTTTTCCACAGCTCCTTTCTTACCCCCACGGCCTGTTAGTAAAAGGAAAACATTGAAGGAAAATAAATTGTCCCTTTTTGCTTTGCATTACACATAATTCAGCAGGTCAAATATTTAACAACGAATAGTTAGAGCTTATCTATTTTTAGTCGTAAATATTTCAGTGTTTTATTGGGTATATTATTTCAGGGTTACACCCTTTGCTTAATGGATATTTAGCAAAATGGATATACTGATTTCCCTATCATTACATTGAATAACAGCAGTCTAATCTTAACTAATTTCCTACAAAATAGTTACAACACCCATGACCAATAAAAAATGTTATTTTATTTTTAGATTGCTTGAAGTGTTCAAATAAGATCTGTATAGCTACCTTCACATTTGTCACAAATTATGTTTTTCTTCAATGCCAATTTCCGTGTGGCTCCATTGTATACATCTTCAAGTGATACAGTCAACTGGTGGACAACATCCTTCCCTATTTATCCACAGGAATACAAAATTTAAAAAATTATTACTTAAATATCCTTAAAAATTTTAAAAATTATTACACTGTTGAGAAAGACCTTTAATTAGAAAAATAAATTACAAATAAAATCACTCATTTTGTAAATAGTACTGATCAGAATTATTTGAGTATTGGAAGTCAGACCCTGAACAGTAAATATTAAAATCTCGGCTGAACGTTACCCCATTAGTAATTGATTCTATCAACTCATTATTGAAGGATATCATGGGCAAAATACTTTCTTACCCTTTCAAATCATGTACTAAAACAAAATCTGCTTTCTTGATATGTTTTTCTCTGCAGTGTTATCATTTTGGAGCTACCTTCACATCAGAAAGTCACTCTTTCAACAGGTATCGGCCCAGATAGATTATCGGCCCAGTCAATTAATGAACTCATAGTTTTAATCTCACAAGAAAAATACAAGGTAGTGTAGAGCTTTAATGCATTAGACATCAGTTATCCAGCTTTTAATTTCCTTATTCCAAAAATTACTACCCCAAAGCATCTTTGCTTAATGAAGGCAATTATTTAATATACCTCTTTTCTCCCTCTGCATTCTGCCACCACCACCAAAGAACATGTCGAAGATATCCATGGGTGAGGAAAAACCACCACCACTGCCCATTCCTCCTTCCTTGATGGCTTGTTCACCACCTTGATCATAAAGATCTCGCTTCTTTGAATCTGACAAAACTTCATAGGCTTGCGATATGAGTTTGAACTATTAAGATAGGAAAAAACAAGTAAATAGAAATAGACAAATTCTATTATAAAGTTAGGAGGCCCTAGAAGTTCTCTCTGGAATCTAGAATTTGCAAACAAAAGTCTTTGGAACACAGTATTATACAATTCTTTCTAACCAGCCATATTATCTCAGAATCACTTGAAATGAATACTATTAATATTAGAAAGAGCCCTATTAGAATAGAGGAAGCCTGGATTTTTCACAAAGTGAGTAACCCTACCTTGTTGGGATTTCTTTGTTCTTTTTATGGCAGCAACCTCAACACTGCTGGAATCAGTAGGTGCACCCTGCTGAGGAAACAAATCCTGAAGATGACACCCCTTTAAGATGTGGTCAGCACATCAGGGGGGTCAACCGAGTTATTCCTCGCACTTTGGCACTGTGTACAAAGATGACTCACAATCTGTCCTCAACTATTCATGTTGTCATGTAACCCCACAAAACAGAAGGAATTTAAATTTTACCCTGAGGGATGGCAGGATGACCTGTGGAGGATGCTGACACTGGAAGAATGAAGAAAATCCTGTAATGTAAGCCTGTCTTTTTCACGCAAATTTTATTTTTATTCGAGTAAAAGCTTTATAACGATAGGGAGGTTAAAATGCTAGAAATGCACCGACTTATTTCGTTCCACTGAGGAAAATACAGTACAGGCAATTAAAGCCACTCATGAAGATTCTGTACCCAGCTCTTTCAGTAGCCATTCTTTCGGAGGTGGGTGGTGGTGGTGGGGGGGGGGAAGGAAACAAATTCAATCGAAACGAATATTATTTACATCTATTCACGTCGAACAACGTTGCTATGGCAATGGCAACCACAACACTTTCTGGACCTTAAATTCCTTAAAACACATGGCACATTCACTGACGTTGTCGACTTCTTATCCACGAAATTACGGATCAAAGAAAGCTGCAACGCCCGCAGGTCTGTCGTGGGTCCCTCCTGACTGGCTTGTCGTATGTCATTCCGACCACAGCACACACACACACTGCCTGAGACATGCGCTGGACGTTCTGGAAAGTTCTACACAAGACCTACAACAGCTCTCCCTCTCCCTCCCTCTCTCCCTCCCTTACCTTTTCTCCTTCGTTGGGATTCTTGTCGGGGTGATATTTCAGGGCCAGTTTCCTATATGCCTTTTTAATTTCCTCCGACGATGCACTGGACTTCACCCCCAGCATCTCGTAATAACCGGTCTCTTTCACCATGGCTGAACCCTGGCCAAAACCATTAAAACGCATTAAGCTCCGGGACCCCGGGAACAACCTGTCGCCGGAGCAGAGAAGCGGCGACCCGACGAGGACATGATTTCTGCTGTCATTGTACGTACTGCCATACTATGTTACACTAATAGCAATAATAATTATTATTATTATTATTATCCCCGCTGTACTAGTTCGCGACACGAGTTGATAAAAAAAGTAAGACCAGCTGAGTTCAAGGCGAAACCTCCTCCCTCAACGTTCGCACGAAATCATAAACGAGACGAACGATACAGTAAGTTCGCGGGAAAAGTAATGTCGATGAAAGTCACTCACTCACTCACAGTCACTCACTCACTCAGTCTCACCTCTGCTTTAGTCGCTCTCGTCAGTGAAGCGAGTGGGAGCTGCGCCTGTGCTCTGCCGCGCGCGCTCCGGGCTGTACCGTCCTATGTAATGGACACCGCAGAATGTTCTGGACTCTTCACCCCGCCCCTCCCCCTCCCCTTCCCCCCCCGCCCCCCTCCTCACCCACCAACCCCAACCCAGCTTGTCGCCCTGACTCCGCCTCCCAGTGTTACGTCACAGCCCCCCCCCTCCCCCCCGCCGGCTCGGGCTCTGACCGTTGCTCGGGGTATTTTTTTCCAGCACTTTCTCTCGACGCTCGGGTTTGGTTTGGTTGCCGTTGGTTGCGACCGTCGATAACAACAGCTCCGCCAAGGTTCGTTCCCACCCCCCCACACACACACCTGTGCGTCTGCAAAAAAAAAATTTTTTTTTTAAATTCTGACGCAACTTTTCCCTCTCCTCTAACCATCAGGAACTTAACTAAATTTGCGCCCGACGTTTGAAATCAGTTCTGACCAAATGCACAGTCACTACACCTTTGCGGTATATTCTGTGAAGCGCTTCGGGGCGTCTCGGAGACGTGATAAGTCGCTCTATCAAATGCAAGGATTATTATTATTATTGATTGATTGATTGATTGGGAGTTAGTTGGTGCTTTTCTCTTAATTACTAAGAGAAATTCTCCTCTATTTGACTCTTCCCCCCCCCCCCCCCACCCCCCAAAAAAAGTTGGGTCTCTGTCATCTGTGGGTGGAAAAGAGTGAGAGAATATTGCAGATATCAATTGACTCCAAACCCAGTTGGTTCGTGGAAAGGAATTTATTTTTTTTATTGCCGCTCGCATACTCACCGGATTAACCTCCGTACCTCCCCTATCACACCAGTTTTAACCGGGCGCTCTATCGCCGAACAGATCAATTTCACGATCCTCGCACTCCTTTTCAAATCCCTTCATACCCTGGCGCCTCCCTAACTATAACTAACTCTCCGATCTACTGAGGGCCCGATGTCAGATTCGGGATACGGACCTCATAAACAATATTTTATGTGTTTCCCCTTCCAGAAACATACACCATAAGAATCGTACAGAAATATTTTTAACTTATGTGGTCACTATATTACTTTATTGCACTATACTTTTGTTACATTGCAAATTTTAAAAAGGAAACCCTTTGTTAGAATTGGAATGTAAAAATTCATACAAATTTTAAAACAATAATACGCTACTTATCAATAAAGTACCTTTCTGCAAATATTATTATTAAATCCAGCGTAAACAATGACAGTGAAAAAATATTTAAGTGAATTAAAATGCATATCATTTAGTAGCCTTAACAATGAACAAAATAACAATAATCTCAAATGGGCATAATATATGAATCCAGTTCATTTTTATGTATTCAATTCATAAGATAAGATACCATAAGAAACATAAACATAAGATATCAACTCAGCATATGGAGACCCTACAGAAAATGTTCCACAAAACTAAAACAGATTAATCCATAATTATAAAACTAACAAAAGGGTTTTCCATTACTTTCAATAAACAAGTAATCCCACTTATATTGAAATCCTCTATTTTCCAAAGCTTGCATTTAGTCTGAGACTCATATTTATGTAGTTTTAGAATTGCAACAATATCTTGATTAAAATACCCAGCCAGAAGTAAGGTGCTATATAAATGTAAATGTAAATTGTATGGTATAGTCAAAAGTAAAAATTTCATATATGAATCGATTTATATTTCTCATTATAAATGCAGAGCAATTTCAGATAGTTTTCTTCAAGGAAATAGCATTATGGAAACAGTACATAGGTAGTTTGGGGCATGTGACCACCAGGAAGATGGAAGGCGAACTAGATGGACCTTGGTCTTTTTTCGTCTCGGGTTTCTTTTGTTCTTATGTAGAGTGGACTCATTATGGCCTTATTTACATGAATATTGCATACATTAGTTATTTTGGCCTCCATCCTTTCATGAATCGTGTAAGTTTGGTAATGTGAAAATTGCTCATCTTGAGTGTGGTCTGCATCATATCTCTGTCCATGTCAAAGAGCAAAGTCCCATCAATCTGCTGTAACTGAAAGGCCTTAATGTACTGATTCATGTTGAGTAAATTCAAACAGTCACAGATCTCATCTACACCCAGAGTTTGTAAATCCAGTGGAACATCACTCATAGTGGCAATTTTATTTGTTTTGCCGATTTGTACATTGCTTGTACTAGACGGTGTGTTTGATAATGATTGGGTGTCCATTGTTGTTTTGGCTAAGACAGGCAAAGGAGAGGTGCCTTTTGGTTTGAGTTTTGGAGATTCTTGTATCTTATTTTGTTGATTGACTTGAGTTGGATACTCTACAGGAAGTTGTACCGGCAGCATTTTATTTTGTCTTTGATAAGAATGTAGTGTGTGATATGTATTGTCCTCCTTACATTCTTGCAGACTGATGTACAATGGCTCAAGTTCTGCGTATTCATTTCCATGTCGACTTTTTTCAGTTTTATCAAACAAAGTGATATCTGTAAAATAAAGTAAAAATAGTAACTTAAAATGTAGAAATCAAGTCAAAATGCAACTTAGTTCTTTTTTTAACTAACATTATTTGACATTATTTACATTAAAATGAATACTTAAAATCTAACCTGCATATTTATAGAAAGTTTACAACAAGGAACAAGGCCTTTTGGACTATTGTGTGTTTGCTGATACTCACAACCTCGCTGGAGCTCTGTTCTAATCCCATTCCCCTTCAATATGTTTTGCTCAATACATTTTCAATGATTTTATTACTAATTATTACAGCAACAATAAATTGCATTTATAAAGCACCTTTCACATCAGAAGGATGTCCCAAAGCACTGGAGAGTCGAGGGTTTGCATCCAAGCTGGGGATTGGATTCAAGAGGGGTGGGGGCCAAGGGGGTTGGAAATGGGAAGATAACCGAAGGTGCAGTCAAAGAGGGAAGTCTTGAGATTGATATTGAAGGAGGCGAGGAAAGGGGCAAGGCAAAGGAGTTCTGGAATGCAGCTATAGAAAGCGGGAGCAGAAAGGCTGAAGGCCCAAATGGCCATGGAAGTTTGCTGGGTGCAAATTGGCTGCCTTGATAGCCCACAAAATACTCCATTTTACAGTATATTCTGTGAAGCACTTTGAAATGTCCTCCTGATGTGAAAAGGAGCTATACCTAAATATAAGGATTATTATTAATTTATGACAGTCAATTTACAAACAGCAATAAAGTGGATGACTTGTTTTATCTGGGGGACTGTTAGCCATAATACTGAGAGAAACTCCCTTTTTTCAATTCATGCCATAGGATCTATAATGTCCACCTGACCACGCTTCAGCTTAATGTCTCATCTGATGGATAGCATCTCCCAACAATTGAGCACTCTCCTTATACTGTTTTGGAGTATTAGTCTCGACTGTGACTTCACAGTCTTGACCCCACAACCTCCTGACTCAGAGGCAAGAGTGCTAGGTAACATCCGGGGAACATTATAAAATGTTAAATGAAAATCCAATTAATGGAGGTTATAAGCACCTAATTGTTCTCATTTATCAATTTATTTATTAACCCAAAGGCTTTCACTAGGTTTGTGAGGGAGTGTTTAAACACCATAGCTTTCCCCAGCCCCATATTCCAGTTGGAAGTTACATACCTTGATAAATGAAATGATCCAAAAAACCCACATTGTTGACCATCGAATCATAATTGGTGCAGCATATATTCCATTGTGTTTTATTATCATCCATGAATCCTTCTGCTACAACAACCTTAATTTGATGCATATACATTGGGATCACAATAGGTATCCGAACTAGTAAACATCCTGAAATTGGACACAATAATGAATGCACTTGAAAAAAAGTTACAGAGGTTATATCAAATGAGGAACTGCAGTGGTTACAGACAGAAACTGCTTGTTTGATGAAACTAATGCTCTTGCATCAGGGATTGCAATCGCAATGGAAGCAAAATCGCAATAGAATGCAAGTTGTTACTTGTCCAGGTAACACTTTGGTAAAGAACTAGACTGATTTGAGATGTAACTGGTCCATACATATTATGGAGGCCATCTGTGCTAAAGCCCACTAATTTATATGAGTGCAGACCTATGTACTTTTGTGATGTTTTTCAACCCCTGTAGCATGGATTGCTGTAACCATTCTCCAAGAAGGTAAAAGCCTGCCCTCACTGTGCTTTAATTTTATAGACTAACACATAAGGCAGTGGGAATATCTTTGTTTTCAATATAGTGCATCAGCCTGGCTAAGTTGGTTGCACTCTTGCTTCAGTGCTGGTGGTATGGTGCATTGATAAAATTGAGCATTCACTTCATGGCTATTTATGGGACATTGCTGGGTGCAAATTAACTGCCACATTCACTCAAAATACTCAGTAACTCCATTTTATAGGGCATCTTAAGAAGTCATTTGCGGTATTCCTCCCCCCTCTTCTCACCACATGAAAAAGCGCGATATCATATATCTCAATGTGCTTCCCAGGTAATTAATGTGTAGTGGCTGTATATCTGGAGGCAAGAGCAGCAGCTAATTTCTACACAGCAAGGAACAGCTTTGAAGTGAATGATTATTGTATCTGGAGGAATGTTGTCCAAGACACTAGTAAAATTCCTGTGTCTTTTCAAATAGTATCATAGAATTTTAACATTCACCTGTACAAGCAAATGGCACGGTGGTTTAACATTTCTTCCAAACGATAATGCAAAGTACTATGCTGGAGTGTCAGCTTGGGTTAGTAATTCTTTGCATAGCATTATTACATTTCTGAGTAATGGTAAACAGAGTTAATCTTCAGAGAATAATTAATTTATATATTCCCTGGAGGATTATATGCAAATGGCAATCTGAAAAATCTCAAGTACTGTATTTCCATAACGAAAGGTGATACTTGCCACTAGAATTTATGGTGTGTCCCAGTAGAATTTCTTGTTGATATGTCTGTGTGACATATAGGTTTCCAAGTTTCTGATTCTTCAATCTGGGATTCATTCTCATATCTGTGTATGTTAGGTTAGCTGCAGATCTGATATTCACAGGCAATGTAAAGTATAACAAAACCTGTTCCATTGTAAGCGGTCCAACTGTGCAAGTAACATAAGGATATATGAAAATAGAATATGAGTCATCAAGTCTATTCCACAAGGAAATCATGGGATTAGAACTGCAGTGAATGATGTGAGGTTTCATTTCAGTATTTCTTACAGAGGAATTGAAACGTATGCATATTTAAATTCTAATTTCAATTATGAAGATATGAAATTAGAATATATACAATTTTTGCCATATCAAGTACTCTACCTATTTCTAGTCAAGGGAATTAATTTATCGACAAAACAGCCAAGGTAAAGCTCTCCACAATTCCAAAATCAATCTTGCAAATTTCTATAATGTTAATCATACTATTCAAAGCTCACCAGGTGCTTAATTATGCAGGAACTATTATTAATTAATGCAGGAACCATTATGATCTGTAGAGTATTTGTTCACCTATGCCTGTCTTATCCCTACCTCTTTCAAAACCAAATTGTACAATTAGATCTGGAGTGATATTAATGTCAGATTTTATTTTAATGCTTTTACAGAAAGATTGCATAGACATATGTATTGTAGTTAAATGGCTAATTTCAATGATGAAATTATAATATTTCTTTGTTAAAATAGTGTTGTACCTTCTTTGTTAGTTTTTTGATCCATCGCGTAAAACAGCATCGATGAGTTTACTGGCAGTGATAACACTTTTCCATTTTTGCATTCAGCAATTGCTCTCTTCAGTGAACGTAAGCAATGAATCCGAAGGATCTATAAGACCAAGGAGACACAGTATGTACTGGGTCATTTGCCATTTTCAGAGGGAAAAAAATCATACAATTTAACATCAACAAAAACAACTAGCAAAAGTGCACTATTCTAACTCACTATTAGATCATGTACACTTCGTATTCTTTTAAACATTGATCAGTGTATAATACTGTATAGTGTAACATGCATTTTCTTATGCAAGATTTACGGCAGTCCAGTAAGCTCCTTGTCAATTTTGGAGAATATATCACAAGATTGGTTAGGATAAAGTCCAACATTCACTAAATTGTGCTTGTTCGTTGTTTATGGGACAGATGATCTTTGTTCCTATTTCCATATTGTTTCACCGTGTAAGCAAATTGTAACCTCGAGTGATATTGCCCTTCTCTAGGTCAGGCCAGTTTTTCTCCTGCCACCAACGTAGTACAAATTAATACATTACAATTTTCATTTATGAAGCACCTTTCATGTCTGAAAGGGCTCAAAGGGTAAAGACAACCGAAAGCACAGTAAAAGAGGTCTTGAAAAAGGGGTGAGGGGAATCAAAGGGACTCTGGGATGGAGTTTCAGAGAACGAGTCAGAATATGTAGCTCAGAGTATTATTTGAAGATGTTTCAAGGAAATATTTATTAAAGTGATAAGAATTATTATGACTTTCAAGAAAAGCAATCATCTTAATCAGAAATTCTGTAGGAATACTTATGGATTATTTAAAAAAGCTTTCTAATCCTACTATAAACATAAATTTTACAGTTTCCCGACTAGGCCGGATTTCCTGACATGAGGAAAAGCTTTAGAGTATGCCAGTATTATTAGATGTTATTCACAGTATTTTTAGAATGAATACAAACTGATACTTTGCAAAAAGAAATGATGTTTAGATCAATCTATATATAAATTGAAAATGCAACTCAACAAAGCTATTGACGGTCACTTACAGTGGCAGCACTGATTGAATCCACTTCTTGCTGGCCCAGGAATCCCTCTGTGACTTTAATAATTTAAGGCAAAGATGTTTCAAATTTTCTTCGAAACTCGTTCAGACTGTATTCACTTTTAGACCACTGAATGTTTTTCAGCTCCATTTTGGAAGCACTTAACCCAAGACTATACTTCCGCAGTAATCCAGACTAAGAAAATAACTCACTGCAATTACACAACACAATAAAATAGGTGCAACCTCCCAGTTTGTCATGGAGATAGTGATGTCAGCAATTGCCTTCAAATCAGGATCAGACTTGCTAGATCTTAAAACAAAGACGCCTTGCAAAAATTTCAATGCCTTATCATGTCATCAAAACATCTCAAAGCCCTTCATAGGATTAACTATAAAATGTAATGACTGTATTTGTAAGCACACAGCAGCCAGTATGCACACAGCAATGTCCTACAAACAAATGAAGGATGGTGCCTCTGGTGCACTCCCCCATCTGTGCATCGGAGTGTCAGCCCAGACTGTCCAAATTTGTCACAAGCTTCTGACTCAGATGCAAGTGTGCTGCCAATTGAACCAGATAGTAATCACCTTCAAATTCAGGAAATTGAGTTTTTCATGCTCCTTCCCCAGGTCTGATGAATTACTGCCTCAATCTGCATTATCAATCTTAATCAGTTCTTTTTCTTCCATCACTTCTGGGTCGTTGTTGTCTTGGACTTGTAATACATTTTCCAAAAAAAAGTTTGGTTAAGAATTAATTATGTTTTCCCAAGTTCAAAATGGGGAAAATTTCATTATTTTCTTATATTTTTGTTGACTTTAGTTTCAGGAATTGCTATCATTGCATTTTCTGGCCATTTGGCTTCACTAATCTATTCATGCTGGTTTATCATCACTCCTATCCTTAAAATGCCCTCCCTGGACCCATCCCTCCTCTCAAACTACTGCCCACAGCACAGAAACAGCTTTGGTCAAAGTGACAAATGACATGTTATCCATCTGCGACCAGAGCTCACTCTGCCTCTTCATCCTCTCTGCTGCCTTTGATACCATTGACCAACCATTCTATCCTCCTCCACCGCCTCGCTTCTCACTTCAACCTTCATGGTTTTCTCCTTGAATTGTTCAGATCCTACCTCGCAGTGTCCACTTCATTTCCACAAATGGCTTCTCCTCTAGCCCTCACACCGTCTTGTGCGGAGTTCCTCAGGATCCCCTCCTTTTCGATATCGATATTCTATGTGCAATATCTTGGTAACATCATCCGCAGACATGGGTTCAACTTCTACATGTTCGTGGATGACACCCAACTCTATCTCTGCCTCCACCCTCGACTCCAGGACCACTGCTGTCCTGACAAACTGACTGTCAGACACCAAGTCCTGGAGCAGAGCTAACTTTCTACAGTTGAACGTCAACAAGACCGAGGCCCTCCTAATTGGCTCACATCAGCGCCTCCACACCTCAGGCATTGACAGCATCACCATCCATGAATGCACATTCCACCTTACTAAGCCTTGGCGTCTTGTTTGATCCTCAACTATCTTTTCTACCCCACATCTGTGCAATGTCGCCCGGCTCCGCACTGTCTCACACCCCAGGCCGCCAAGACCCTCATACACAAATTAATCGATTAATCAAACTCCCTGTTGTTGGCCTCCCAACTTCTCCCATCATAGACTGCAGATCATCCTGATCTCTGCAGTCCGTGTGCTCTCCCTGGGCTCCACGACCCTGTCACCACCATCTTCGCCCGACTCCACTGGCTTCCCATCACAGAGAATACAGTTCAAGATCCTGGTCCTCACCTTCAAAGCCATCCATGGCCTTACTCCCTCCCTTATCTCTGACATTCTAACCCCCTACCAACCTGCCCGCTCCCTCCCCTCACGTCCCCCTCCTCGCCCACCCCACCATTGGCGGCTGGGCCTTCTGCCACTCTGCCCCCACGCTCTGGAACTCCATCCCGCAGTTCCTCCACCTCGCCCCCTGCCTTGCCTCAAGACCCACCTTCAACCGTGCCTTCGGTCACCCTCCTTCCCCACCATTCTCCACCCTCCCCGATCCCGACCCCCCAACTCAGGTCCAAAACACTGATTGTCCAGCGCCTTGGGACATCCTCTGGATGTGAAAGGCACTATACAAATGTCATTTTGTTGTTATCATGGTATTTTGAGGCTGTTGTTTGATGGTAACCATGGAGAAGACGTCAGAAGCCCTTGGGTCCAGTGTAAAGTTGTTCAGCATTGGTTACTAAGGAATCGTAAAACAAAAGTGCTCTCGGAGGGAGACTTTCTCTTTAAAATACCCATGAAAGGCTTCACAAGGGAAGCAACTTTAACTCTTGGCTAAAGAAATTTAATTAGCTTTTCAAGGAGTAAGTAAAATTCAACAAATTGTTTGGAATAACTTTTATTCTGTTGAAATTAATGTAAAATAAACAATGAAAAATATTCATGTACAACTTTTCCCTCAACTTTCCTTTTTAAAAAAAAACAGCAGCTCATTTTGCTTTGGACCTCGATCAACATTTTTCAAACAATAAATAAAGCATGGGAATGAAATTAAATACAGCAATTTCTAGATTTTGTATATGAATGCAAACTGACACAAGATTTTAAAGACCTAATACAGAAACCCTTTTTTTTCTGGGCTATAGGTTGATTATCTGTGAGAGGATTCTGTTTTGGAGCTGAACCAACGTGATGAGGCAAACAAGAAGTTGATTCAATCTTTATCCCTCACTCTGTTGCAGATTTCCTGTGTGAACTCAGAGCATTTGGAATTACCACCGAGGTCTTTGGTCAGTACCTGTAGAACAAAACACATACACATAAGCTTAAGGTTTTAGTATTAAACATGAACAAAACTAAACCTAAAATGTCTTTGTATATTAATGACAAATATACTGCATGTGATTGTGGTGCATCCACACCCACCTGTCCCATATATAAATAGGATGTTTAAAATAATCAGTATCTAGATAAGAAAAATATTTTCAATCTGTTGTATCTAATCTGTTATGAAGTGGAAGGTGCTGAACTATACCAACAAGTAACACTTTTGTGTCAGGCCTTCAAAGAAAAGCTGTACAGTAGGAACACAGAATTTAAGGCAGTTACAATGTTGCAATCAAAATCAGCTCAATGGAAATTTAGCAAAAGTCACTTGTTCCAGATTACTCACAGTTCTAGCTGTGCTTTGATTAAAATCAAAGATTATTTTTTAAATGATGCTAGATAAAATTATAACGATTAAGTTATCAATAGATTAACCATATAAATTTACAATATCGGTCTAGCATGAAGACCTACATAACCTATTTAATCTCTAGCTCCAATTCCAATAGGTACATACAGACTAATATGAAATTCTTCTAAGTTTTAAGCAGACCAGTGAGTTCTGTTTGGGCCAAATCTGGGACATTCTGTTTTTTAGGAGTGATCACAAGATATCCTTTGAATATATTTACATAGCTGTGAATAAAATAGGAGTTGATTGTAGGGCACATTTAAATCCTTGTTTACCTAGCAGTAAGTAGGAACCCGGTTGTTAGTCGATTGGCAGATCGCTTTTCCGGGGGTAATAATACCTTCCACATTTTTTTAAAAAATTATAATAAATTGGGTTACTCAATCCAGGACTGTCTGTGGGACACCTCTGTGCATAATTGGCTGCCACATTTCGCCCACAAAAAAANTCCAGTTAACTCAATTTACAGTAGATTCTGTGAAACTTTGAGACGTCTTGAAGACATGATAAGGCGCTATATCAAATGCAAGGATTATTAGTATTCATTACAGCATTCCTAGGAAACCTGCAAGACAAAATCCCTTTGCTTCTAAGTTTCCTAGAATTGTTGTAACACACATGTATACTTCAAATACCACAGACAATTATATACAGTATATGAAAAGATAATAGTTAAAACTTGTAGAAGTAAATCTCAGGTTAAAAATACTACATTGAGGTATTATTATCCAGCATGTCTACAAACACTGAATGCACCTCCTGGACTTTCTAATTTTAGAATTGCTTTGAATATCATAAAATTCTAGTTGTGTTTCAGTATGGAACTAAATTATATTAAAATAAGAAGTAATTTGTGTTCTTTCCCTTTAAAGAAAGTTAATTGCTACTGTTCAACCATCAAATCCCTTCATAACAATTTTGTCTATTTTTAGACCTAAGAGATCACAGTTAAATTATTAATATTACATTTCGTACAGCAACTTTTATGTCAGGAAGATATCTCAAACCCTTGTAAGTGGAGTGAGTGAACGGGTGAACGCTTTGAGTTTTATGGGTGAACGCAGCAGCCAAATTTGAGCACAATTTGTGGGGGGGAGGGGCTTCCAACACAGTTGAACAAATCTGAACATTGTTTGAAAATCTGAATATAATCTAAACTGAGTTTACAGTTGATGTATCAATAGGGGAACATTCATGGACTTCAACATGAAGAAGTTAGGAGGAACTCAGTCCAGATTCAACTCCTGATTCCTAACCAGTAAGTTATGCTGAAAAGAATGCGTAGATATGATTGGACTAAGCCATTGTGCTCTTGTGGACATCAGCAGTTGATGCCATAGTCCAGCTGCAGAATCCTTGGTAAGGGTAACATCAACATAGTGACTATCTGTAAGGTTCAGGAATTGCTTTGAAAATGCCCAATCATATTTCACCCAGTAGCCTTAACTAGCCCTGTATAAACTTCCAACATGTCAGTTTGGAATGCATTAAAAAAGCAAGATCCTAAAGTGATCCTCCACCTCTTCAAAACCCCTAATCTCCTGAAAGAACCAGCTACATTGATTAGTGCAACCAACATTGGATTTTTTAGCAGCCTGAAGAGAAAGGTTATGTCATAAAGCACCAAAATGCAAAAGTGTTTGGCACACATGATAATTCAGTCAGGAGTCTGAAACATGTTAGCAATGGTTTGTAAATTAAACCTCAAATGCTGAGGTGCTGAGCAAGAAGTTTTGAAAAGTATAGTCCATTTAAATTGACAATTTTAATAAATAAATGAGTACTGTATACCTGCTGATTCTTAATAGTTTCAAAGCAGGCAGACTCAATTTTCCTGGCATGATCAAAGAGCCCCATGTGCCGCAACATCATAACTGCACTCAACAAGAGGGCAGTGGGATTTGCCATATCCTTCCCAGCAATATCTGGTGCTGTACCATGAACCTGAGTGAGGGAAAGATTAGAATAAAAAAGCAAACTTCAGAAAAAAGTCTGGTTAGCACTTTCAAGGATTCAATATTTTCCCAAATCCCTCTAGTTCACTACAAAAAAGTAACCATATTTTGAAACAATTTCATTTACACAAAGAAACTGAAACGATAAAACAAATGTTTAAGCAGTAGTGAAGTTATGACATTTCAGTTATTCTCTTAAAGGTAACATTTTATATTAAGGAAATACAAATACTGTATTTACTCAAATCAAAGGTGCCCCTGAATCTAACACAAGCAGATTTTAAAGGATTTTGGGGGGGAAACGTTTCTGCAATTCGATTCTATTCAATTGATTTTGGAGGTACATTTTAAATGAAAAAAAACTGTCCCTTAGGTTAGATTAAATATGATATTTTAGAAGTGTGATTTTTCTAAAGCTACATTTTGCTGTAATTTTGTGTCTGAAAAAAATACAATTCATCTTACAGATTCAAATATAGCAACTCCATTTGCTCCAATATTGCCACTTGGCGTTACTCCAAGGCCGCCAATAAGTCCTGCACACAAATCACTATATAAAGAGAAAAATAAACTTAAGTGGTGCATTTTTTAAAAAAGTGTTAAATAAGTAAGTTAATTTCCAACAATAGCACACCTACACGATCAATTAAACAGTAACAATTACAAGGATACATTTATTGCTAATGAGTCACTGTACATCAAATAATGCAATTTGAATATCTTTATCATACTTCAGTTGGGTCACATTGTCTTCAAAGTGCTTCACAAGTAATTAGTCAAGGGTTTTGATTATTTCTGTAGGCAAAATTAGAAGCCATTTGGGTAAAAAATAAGGTCCAATAAACTATGAGGTGAATAAACAATTAACTGGGAGGTGTGTTGGCCAGCATAGCAGGAGGAAACCTTTTGAAATAGGGTGGAATTTTTAATGTTCACCAGAGCAGGCAGACAGGTGAACTTTTAGAAAGTTGATTTTCAAAAGGTTTCATAAAGTTGCTTTCAGTATGACCAGGTTTGACTCCGCAAATGCCCACAGAATCCCCACCTCTTCCCTACAGAAGCTGCAGACAATTCCGGAACTCTGCAGACTGCATCCGGGTCCACAAGCCAATCACTTCTTCCTCAATCGGTTCCACTGGTTCCCATTCTCCAGTGGATCTATTCAAGATCCTCATTCTCAACTTTAAACTCTTCATGGCCTTGCCCCACCTAATCTCCTACAACCCTACCATGCCAGAGGATGAGTAATAACAGAAAATAATTGGGTCTTTTATAATAACAGAGTGGTCATTTCATTTTCAGTACAAATACAAACCTAAGAATATCACCATAGAGGTTAGGCATTACAAGCACATCAAACTGTGATGGGTCTTGGACCATCTGAGGAAAGAAGAGATTTTTAGTTAGCATACCTTGTAAAGTGACTTTAAAACAAAATCTATGAAAACATTCTTGTTATTAAAATATACTTACATTCAGACAAACTGTATCCAGGTAAACTTCAGTAAATTTAATGTCTTTATAATTTTCTGCTACTTCCCTACATTTCCTCAAAAAGAGTCCATCTGACATACGCCTGAAACATACACAAATCTAGTATTGCAATGGTATATCTTCCAAAACAACAAAATTAAGTTATATTTGTTAATTAATTTTTCATACATACTAATATTAAATTTCACATGCTCCCAAACCAGTCCTGCGCCAAATACATTCATACTAAATAAATAATCCTTGCATTTAATATAGCACCTTATCACATTGAGATATTTCAAAGCGCTTCACAGAATACTGTAAAGTGAATTGACTGTACATTTTGTGTGAGAAACACAGCAGCCAATAGAGCACAGCAGTATCCCACAAACAGTCATGGATTGAAGTGACTAATTTATTACTGGGTCTTTTTTTGAAGGAATTATTACACCCGGAAAAGCCATCCGCCAATCGACTAACAACCGGGTTCCTACTTACTTCTAGGTAAACAGGTTTGTGGAGTAAGGAAACTTGCCCAACATTTCGCCCTGCCGGGAATTGAACCCAGATATCTCACTTGCGAGGCGCGTGCTTTATCCACTGAGTTACATGATTCCACAATTTGGAGACTTGTGGCTTTAATGCTTAGAAACGAAGTTACCATAATATGCAATGTGCAAGTTGTACAAAGCTAGGGGTGTAATTGGCCACAATTTCATGAGATCTTACAGTATTTTATAATACAGAAATTGAAATTTCTAATTTGAAATTGCAATTTGCTAATATTTTAACAATATTAGCCACAACATATAAAATGGTTCAATATTTATGTTAAACTGTAAATTAACCAAGGTAATTACTGAGTCAAAATTGAACTGCGTTAAATGTTCCATACATAATGTTTGCTTTGTGTACGGCTGTGACTGTGCTCCTCTTATTGATCCTGGAATACTCAAAAGCAAACTCTGCAATTCGCTTGCTAGCTGTCTCTGTGATTAGCTTTATACTCTGCACAACACCGTCAACAATCTGAAACAGATAGAGACTGTGTAAGAGTCAAACTTTGCAAAACGTCAACAATAACCAAGCATATCAGTAGTCCTACAAGATCCAGTTGATTTGTGTAATCAATTTTTATTGTGAAAAATAATTGAACCTGGAAGATATTTTCTGCAGTCCAAGTTCATGAACACACGCTCATATATCCAGGGTTTGGTGCCTTGGTACTGTGATAAACTGCTGCTGCCACTGAATCAGCGCACGTGCAACTGATGGGAATCACCACTTAATGGTTGTGGTCAGGAGGATGATAGCAATACACCCACACTTTATGCATGTTATAAGTTATGTTGCTCTCAGAGAATTCCTTGCACCTGGTATCCACCTAACAAAGGCTCAAACCTGCACTTGCCAGGTATCTAATGACCAGCTAGAAACTATCTTCAGGAGGTGGGCGGGGCGTAGGTAAGCAGGGTCTTTTGGGGGCTGCGTTGTCTTCAAAGTGACATGCTCTACAAATGGAATATTAGGAGAGTTAATCCTCTGCGGCAGTCATAGTTGTATTTGAATTAGGCACATCTGGCGTACTCTAGGCACTGTTGATGATGGACCAGCCAATCTAGATCACTGACTAGGTATTTGAAGGAGAAAATCAATAGCTCAAGGCTGGGATTCTGCAATAGTAAGTGGTGAGGTTTTAGCTGGTTAAATCCCACTAGAAAAAGTACCCTCTGGGGTTCCCAAGTCTTGGCTCTGGCCAGCCTGTGTTTAAATTTTCTATGATTAGGTAAGCATAGGGGTGGGGGGGTGAAAGAGGGTGCACACTTCACATCAGACAAATGGAAACTATATATAGTATATGCAGAACTCTTATTAGTTTGGCTTGGGGACTTAAGCATGGTGATGGCCTGTGTCAAATATCTTGCTGACCAAAATATAGCAATAATAAACTAACCATATGTTCTATGCCACTGTACTCTCCCTCTGTGTTTTCTCGAATTGTGACAAGGTTTACGTCAGTGTATGGAGTTTGAAAACCTTCAATAGATACACATGGGCGCAGATTTGCATAAAGATCAAAGGTTTTGCGAAGTAACAAGTTCATTGATGGATGCCCAGCTGCAATAGGAGTCATCAAAGGTCCTAAAAGTTTGAATTAAAAGTTTACAATTAGAATGACAGACATTATACATTTATCAAGGAGTCATATTTACAAATAATATCTGAGAGTGACACATCCAGATTCTCAGTTGGTGTTGTTTGCAGCTTTCCAAAACACTTAGTCTCAACCTATTACTCAAATCAGCACCTGTATTTGAAACGCACATCAAAAAGCTGCCACTGCAGCTCCTGAGGAAACAGCAACCAGGCATGACATCAGAACATGATGCCTTGTACAGACTTAGCATTCAGGTTTAGGGAATCCACCTCACCCTACTGCTGCTGCAAAGAGGTCTTTAGAATGTCCTCAATCAGTAGTAAGGATTGCTGCTGCAATAAGCCTTGAACAGCCCAAACCACAGATTGTTTAAGCAAAGTCACAAGCTTTGCCCATCCTGTGATAAGCCACTTAGCTGCTTCCTAAGATAAAACCAAGCCCTGGCTTACATTGGGTTTGCTTATATAAAGCATTCAGGAATATCACATGGGCAACCTCCCCAAGAAAGTGACTTACAACATGAACTCCTAAAACTTGCTCCTACTTGCCAGAGCATAATTTCCAATGCTGTCGAATGCCATTCTAATATGCAAAGGCCTGTTGTCAGGTTCCTCATACCCGAAGTTTCAGAACATGGTTTGTTACAATAGATCATATAATTTTCTACTACGCACCTTTTAATCCAATTTTGTTTGTATCCATAGATACCTTGGCATCTGCAGGAATTTCCCATTTTCCACTTGGTCCCTGTGCGGCTGTAATATTCTTCTCCTCCCAACGGATAGGGGCCTTCAAAATGAAAGAAGACTGTGCTACTATTTCAGCTTGAATATTTAATTTGTTCTTTGTGAAGAATATGATGAAACAAGGTAAAAGGCAACGGCAAGTTTTGTATCTGAAGGGTTCAGGTTAGTTCAGTCCTAGGAAATTCAGTCTTTTCATTATGTATTGTAATGCAAAAGTGGCATATATGAGTAACTAACTGAACTTCATATGCATCCTGCTAACAGATAGAAAATACAGATATTTACATCAGCAGCAGCAAAGATCTTCATTACAGCATTAGATATCTCTGGGCCAATGCCATCTCCTGGGATCAATGTTACCGTCCGAATCTAAATAAAAGATAATCATTAGGGTAAACAGAAAATTCTGGACAGCAATTTGTAAAGGACAAAGTTTAAGGTCTTAGGATACCACATGAATATCTCCAGTAATTCCTTTTGGCACTAAAAATATCTTTTGCAGTTGGTATACATGTGCATTAATTTTTTTTTAAAAAAAGTAACAACTGATCTTTTACTTATAATCCTTACATTGAGTATAGCACCTTTCACATTAGGAGAATGTCCTGAAGCGCTTCACAGTAATGTGCAGTGACTGCGTTTTGTTAAATGTGCTTGACACCTTTCACTGGTAAATTTTATTTCAGAAAACTCAATATGAATGGTATCCCAAAAACATAAATGAATGTTTGTTTAATCAAATATATGTTGTGTGATTTCTAAAATACACACACACACACTTAGCTATCCATTATTAGGCTTGCACTGCATGCCAGCATTTTATACGTTTTTTAATACAAGATGTACTTAATATTCCCACAATGTTTTCCCAATGTAAAAGACACTATACACAAATGCATATTGTATTGTAGTTACTAATAATCATTCCTAAGGAGATCACAAGGATTGGTTTGGATGAAGAAGGTTCTTTATTCCATCCAATCTCGTCCTCCCAGAGTATTCACTCTATCATACCATCATTATAGCATTAAACTTTTTTTAAAAAAAATACTTATTCCAGTGTCCTTGCTTCAACCACAGTTCCTTGCATCCAGTTCTAGATGTTGATTACCCTATTGAGTCCCAAATTTACATCTACACATTTCTCAGATTTGACAACTAAAGTGACACTTAGGTTGACATTTCTGATAGCTAAATTATCTTAGCTGTTATTTTCATGCAGATAATATTTTGTGCAAACAAATAGATTTTCTATATACGCCATAATCATAGCTAAAACTGAAGACAAATAGAATGTACTTATTCTGCAAGCAAATTTACTAATACCCTACTCACTTGTCCTTGCTGAATATTCTTTGCATTCATGAGTATATCTGACCTGTATAAACAGAAGTTGCTTACCATTTCCCCCACAATTGTGGTGAACCAATCTGTGCAAATAACTGGGGTTAAACAGCACACCTGGAGCCCTAGTAAACTGAGGCCAGGGGTTTAAGGTCATAGAAAGATGATTTTAGTTATCATAGGTTGATCACCGCCACCCCAGGACATCATTTTAAGAGATTCACAGGGCAGTGTCCTTGGACTAACCATCTTCAGCTGTTTCATTAATGCCTTTTCCTCCAACATAATGTCAGGAATGACACTGTTCACTGATAATAACATGGATTTCAGTTTCATTCCCAACATCTCCACTACTGAAGCAGGTTATGCTGGCCTACAGCAAGAGGTTGGATAACAATGCTATAATCTGCTCAAGGGCCTGTAGGTTTACTGTGTATCAGTTTGTAAAATGACTTCTATGCATTTCACCCAAATTCTAATTTCTTCCATATCATGGCCATCTACAATTTATGGATCTGGTAAAATATATAGACATACAATAATGCACTACTTTGCTTTCAAACACGCTTCAACCGATTGTTCTTTTAAATGGAACTGTAGGTCAAGATAGAGGTGAAGTAGTGAAACATGATGGTGTATTTGCACCAAAGGGAAGCATCACGGCTGGCAAAATTCCTGCATTCAAACCTCCACTGATTGGAAGGAACATTGCAATAAATTGTCAAACAGGATTTCAAAATACATGAACGGTGGCGATGACTTTTAACAGTGCCTAAAAATCAGAATGTTATCTGTGCAACCTTTAGAAGGTCACTGACAATTACTAAGGTCACAATTAGCTTCTGTTAAAAAAAAACCTCACTAAGAAGGGCACGAAGGGTCAATGAAGTTTCACCCTCTTAATCCAAAATAAATGACGTACATTACAGGTACATTACACACTAACACAGTACATGTACATCATGTATCATACTAACGTCGGAGATTCTCCTGAAGATGGGATCCTGAGATTTAACTGCTCCAAGCAGGCGGGAAACCTGAGGAGAGAGGAACAACAGTCACCAATCATTCCAGATTCAGACATTGCAGAGAAACTGCGGGGTTTTTTCCCATTGGGGGATGTAACAGGACAGTCAGTATCTGCACCGCACAGGAAACGCTCCGCTGCATCTTCCCTTATATGATGATGTTTTTTACCCCCGAATAGAGAGAGAGAGAGAGAGAGGGGGCGATCAGCAGAGGCGCAGTTTTCAGGCTCTCAGGCGATTATTTTTGTGAATTTTCTAAAAAAAAATAACGACTTCGGTCCCGTTACACCTGAACCATTCACCAGCGCGGGCGGCCTTGCGATCCGTCCGCCCGCCCGCCCGCCCCCGCCCCCGCCCTGGCCTCCTCGGTCACCGTGCGGTGTGCAGCCCCCCGGCCGGGAGCTCAGCTCGTCCCGCGGCGAAAGCCCTCCCGCCCCTCCCGTCTGACACGGGCCTACGAGACCCGGCCTCGGTCCAGAAGCGGCAGGAAAGCCCGGGCTTACCGTACTCCGCCACCCACCGGCAGCCATCCTCGTGCTGCGACGCTCTCGTCTCTCTGCCGCCTCCCCCCCCCTCCCCGCTGCCAGGGGAGACGGCTCCCGTCAATCATCTGACGTCAGCAAGATGGCCCCGCCCACCCCGCGGCTGTCACCATCAGCCAAGGCCCCGCCTCCCCCTCGGTGTTGAGCTCAGTGGAGCTGCACAGCACTGAGAGGGGTCACTCTCTTTCACTCACTCACTATCAATCACTCTCTCACTGAGGCTCCGGGTTGGTGCTTTTAGCCGTATTTTGCTGTGGAGGAGTCAAACCTTTCTTTTCGACTTGAAATTTTTTAAAAAAAATAACGCCCCCCGAAACTCTGGAATACTCTCCCGTTATCCCTCCGCCTTCCCCTTCCTTCCCCATTTTCAGGTCGAGCCTCAAGACCTTCCAGTTCGGCAATGCCTACGGTCACCTTCCCACCGCCCCACCGCCCCCCCACCCCACACACCCCGCTCTCTCCACCACTGACAAGCGTTCAGGGACGCTACCCTGTGTGAGGGGGCGCTGTAAAAATGCAAGTTGTTGTTGTTGACTGTGGTCAGGTGGACTTTAGAGAACCCATTGCACTGTTTGAAAAGAGAAAGGGTTTCTTTTTTCCCTGTGTTTCCACACACACATACTCACACACACTCTTCCTCCGGTTAAATTGATCATCTCTTGGAGGTTTGTGAAGCATTTACTGTATGCAAAATGTCTGCCATGATGCCTTGGAAGTACTCTCGATGACAAGATAAGGCGAGGATCACAGGCAAGGATTATTAAGGATTATTGTCACACATAATAATTAAGACACTATATACGCTAAAGCAAATGCAAGAAGGATCCTTATTATTCCAGTGTCCAGTGGCTAATTGGCTCTCAATACTCTTCTTGAAATAGAAGGATTATGAAATCGCAGATTTCAGTTCTCTATTAACCTCTAACCTTCCCTGAAAATATTTTTAAAAATAAGTTCCGGATGATCTGCAGCCTATGCAGGGAGCTGGGGAGACTGACTGCATAGTAGGGCCTGGATATTATGAATGCGTGTATGAGGGGCTCAGCGGCCTGTGGTGTGACACAGTGGCCGAGCTGGCTGATGTTGCAGAGGTGGGAGAAGGCAGAATGAGTCATGGCACGGAAAGGATAGTTGAGGGTCAAACAAGACGCCAGGATTCCGGACTGGCTCAGTGAGGTGGAGTGTGCATCCTTGGATGGTGATGCTGTCAGCGCCTGAGGTGTGGAGGTGCTGACGGGAACCAATCAGGAGAGCCTCGGTCTTATTGATGTTCAATTGTAGAAGAACATCAATTGTGGAAGTTGACCCCATGTTTGCAGATGATGTCACCAAGAGGGAGCATAAAGATATTGAAGAAGAAGAAGGGACCAAGGACAAAGCCCCTAGGAACGCCACACAAAATGGTGTGTGGGCTGGAAGGGAAGCCACTTGTGGAGATGGTAAAGTTGGAAAGGTCAGCCCACTGGAAGCTGTGCGAGGCAGTGACTCGGATTCCAAGTCCATGAGAATGAAAAATAAACAAACCACACCTAGCTGAAAATGAGTCTTGGCAGGTCTGAAGCCTGGATTATTACCAAAAAAATTTTGGCTCAATTTATTTGATAAACAGATCTCTACATGTGTACATCAATTTGCATTTTAATCTTTTCTGTGTCTGGAATGGATATGCACTCTCCCTCTGGAAAGACGCACCCTGCTTACCTAATTCCAGAGTGCATTAGGTGTATCTTTGCTAGAGTCAAGGCTTAGGGGCCTCAGAGTGTTTGTTGGGGTACTGCTATGTCTTTTCAATCACGTCTGCAAGCTTCTAGCTGCTTGTCCAGCTAGGAACACCCTACCAATTAGGTCTTTGGATTGCAGGGTTGACGGGAGCCAAGGGGAAATAACCCTTGCCCTCAGTGTGGAGTCCTGTAGCTCAGTGGTTAGAGCACTCGCTTTGCAAGCGAGAGACCTGAGTTCAATTCCAGGCAGAGGGCGAAACCTTGGGCAAGTTTCCTTACTCCACACAGAGCCTAATAATAATCCCTCCAAAAAAACAAAACAATAATAAATTGGTCATTTTCAATCTACGACTGTTTGTGGGATATTGCTGTGCGCAATTGGCTGCCGTGTTCGCCCACAAATATACAGTCAATTCACTTTGCAGTGTGTTCTGTGAAGCGCTTTGGGACGTCCTCCCGAAGTGAAAAGCGCTATATCAAATGCAAGGATTATTATTATTATTACTAGTCTCCCCATCTAGACCTGCTACCAAACCAGGTTGGCTAGTCTGTGATCAACAATGTTGAGTCAACTTAATTCCGACATTCCATTTTCAAGCTTATCACCTTGGAGCCAGCTCCAAAGAGACCCTGCTTACCATTCTCCTCCCCCCCCCCCCCGCCACCCCACACACACCCCTCTTTCCTGGAGCATATTCACTAATTAGTCAAAAACACAAGGATATTTATTTACTTTTTATCATTTTGCTTGGTCATTTTTAAAGTCACCATAAATACAATGCACAGACATGCATGTTTGATTTCAGTCATTAAACTCAAATATACAGGGTAGTAAAACATTACAACAATGTCTGTGCTGAATTATTCATAACAATAGGTGATAAAGATGCAATAATAGAACAAGTAAGGATTTAGAAAGGTGTAAAACTGGCAAAAGGCTATCCTGTTTCCTGAAAATGAGGTAGAGGAACATATTTAAAATCGGTGTAGGTTTCAAGGTTTTCTATACAATTTCATCTTTGTATAGCAAAGATTCAAAGAAAAAAAATCTGTCAAATGCAGCAATTGGAAAAAAAACATAAGAGGTCTTTATTTTGCCTTCAGTAGGAGTTTATGAAAATTCAAATTGATCTGAAGACAATGGATTTAAAGGCATTTTTCTTGGTTACAATAATTAATCCACCCATTGTTTCAAGTGCACATTTTAATTCATTGTATTTAGGGTCCTTTTTGTTACTGCAATGGCATCAGCAGCCGTGCTGTTTAGCTGTCGGCATTCTTTCACAACATCTGTATATTAGAAAAACATAGGAAAAGATAGTTTTTAAGCAGTATTGTGAGATTGAACACAACTTTTTTTTAAACAAAGCTTAAACTTCAGTTGCAACTTGATAGCAGTTCCTTGAACATGAACCTGTTAAGTAGTTTAATCATTGGAGTGCTGTGTACAATCTCTGTGAATCCTTACCATAAAACTTCTTAGTAGCATCAGCAATGGCAGTACTCAGAACTGGTTTGAATTCCCAGTAATCCTTCTCTACCCAACGTTTAGGACCAAGTAATTCACATGTGAGGTCATTATTGTAAAATCCTAAGAACAAGGAAAGACTGTCATAAAATTAAAATAGTTACAATTCAGTATAAACTGGCAATGTAGCTTTATGAAAATTAAGGGACCTATTGGGAAAATTGCAGAGAGAAGAGACAGCAGAAACATAATTAAATGTTACATAATTATTTTTCTCCAAAATCCTGAAAGAATAATGCTAAAATTTGAGATATAGTCCCACGATTTAATCCCTAAATCAACAACAATGTCTTTCCTCACTTTGAAACATTTTAATGATGCGATGAGACATTATATCAAATAAAAGGATTATTATTATTTTTGTTTTAGGCATCAAAAGAAACTGTTTGTTGATTTGTAACTACCATATTACTCAATACAAAATAACTTACCTTTTAGAGAAGCATCAATATCTTTGCAGAGCTGATACAAGTCACTGCCCCTGCCTGACACCCTTTCTCCTGTGGTGAAATAACAGAAATCAATTGTACCTATTGAACCAGAATAATGAAGCATTCTTATCATACACATATATGGATTAGATGACGATGAAGGAGAAAAGCAGATTAAAATATTTAATGTTATTTAATTTTTCAAATTACTTGGACCATCATTTGATTGCATTTTTTTGGCAGAGAAAGATAAGTATTTTTCTTTTCAACTAGTAGTAAAAAAAAGTGTGTCTAGGCTGACAGACTCTCTTGTAAGGACAATTTCATTTGCTCTCAGTGATCTTAGACACTTGCTAGGTCTACAGAGGCTGACCAAAACAAATTCAATATTCACAAAGACCAAATACTCACCGTCTAAGACCTTTATATTTGGAAAGAGTTCCAATACTGTACTCCGATATGCAGTGTTCATACAAACTATAGTGTAAGCAAAGATGTCACCGTTACATTTTCCTTTCAAATTTCTGTTTGATATATTTCTGGATTTTGCATAGACATTAACATTTCAGCTGTTTATAATGTTGTCAGGGTAGAAACATTGTTATTTTAGCATCTGCATTATTATATATACACTGGATTATCTGACCAATAGACATCAGTGCAGGTTAATTTAATTGCTTTATCTAATCTAGCATCATTAATTTGCAGCAATTTGACCATAAAAATAAAATGTTGTTTGTCATTTACAACGATAACACTTAGCTTAGTAACAGAACAGAAATTAGACAGATTCTTATCTAATCGTGTTATTACTTGCAAAGTTGAAAAAAAATTACTTGGATTACTGAAGTTGCAGATTTTATCTTGCAATCGAATGCTCTCCAAATTCTTCAAATAAATTAGTGAACGAAGAGCATCAACACTAGAGAATAGCAAAAGAATTTTCTTTTAAATATGCCGCGTAGCAGAATTCATGTAATACATTTTCACTACTTCAAGGTCTATGACTTGTATATTACAAGATTCTGTATAAATGCTTTCTAACTGCATATGAAGTATATGTATAAAACTGTTCTTTTACCTGCTGATTAGATTTCCTGCTAGGTTGATGCTCTGCAGGTTTTCACAAGAGCTCAGAGGATCTATGACAAAAAACATTTAAGACACAGAATCTTTAGGAACTGACCAAAAACACAGATTTTACAATTCTGGTGCGCCTGTGACTTTTGCATCTTTGACATTTGTACTGCCTTACACTCTTAAGTAATTTGGGAAAACAACCAGGATTCATAATTAGTAAATTCTTTTCAAACAGAAGGTGGCACTGCAGCCATATATATCCCTGAATGAAACACGAACTGACATTAAATCTAGAACTTATGCCTTAAAATGTGTTAAAGACACCAAAGTTTTTGTTTGCACTTGTGTCAGTGACACAATTTTTCTACAAAATCCAGATTTATAAGGTCTGTAGAGAGAAGTGAGACAATGTCAATTTGTGCCTCATTCAGGGATATATATGGCTGCAGTGCCAGCTTCTGTTTGAAAATAATTTACTAATTGTGAATCCCGGTTGTTTTCCCAAATCACAAAGAGTCTAAGGCAGTACAAATGTCAAAGGTGCAAAACTCACAGGTATGCCAAAATTGTAAAATCTGTGTTCTTGGTTAGTACCTAAAGATTGGGATACATACAATTCTATACAGAGTTTTAAAAAATGGGGAGGCAAAAGTGAACTGGAAAGGAACATAGCAGCAAATGCAAAATGTATCACGAAACAATTCTTTTTATATTACACCAGCATTTGACTAAGATCAGTTTCTTTCCTGATAAGTAGATTCTAACTCCAGAGATTCAGACACTGTAAAACAGCTTTTTTTTAACCTAGATTACATAGATCTTTCTTTATAATACCCATCAAAAAACAATTCAATGATAGGTTGGATGACTTTCTGACAACTGATCTGGATTGCAAACTCTTTAGCACCTTTTAATGAGCAGCTTGTGTTCCCATCCCTTACGTTCTCAAAGACTTGGTTTCATGAACCAAGTATCAATAACAATCTCCCAGTAATTTGAGATATCACTACTTCAACATTCACAAAACAAAGGCAGTCACATTCATTAACCTGAACTTTCAAAAAGACAATGTGCAAAACACCTAGTCTTTTGTCTGAATGCATGTTAGCAGGCCCCGAATTGGCAGCTAGCCCCCAAAGCCAGCTGCTAATTTTCTTGATGAAATTCTAAATCTTAGCACAAATGTCCCATTTTGCAGAATCATGGTCAAAATTTAAGAGTAATCAATACTCTATAGCTGCTATAGCAGGAGCACAAATGAATTATTCTCCCTACTTGGTCAACTCCTGCAGCTATTCCTCAATGGGGTGACTAAGAGCAATAGCAGTTATTAAATGAAGTTCAGTTGCTGGAAATAACATGACCAACAAGAGACAGTGTTTTCAGCTCACTCCACTAAACGAGTTTGGGAGACATCTGTTCCGATCCCAGACATGATCAATTTGCCCTTCAAGAATGGCGGTCATACAGCCTGAATAAACAGATGCTACAATATTTGATCCCAGCTGGGTCCTTCAATTTCTGGAACCGCTGCAGAAGCAACTCTAAATCACAAATGTCCATCTTACTCTCCTTATTTGGTTTTAAATGACTCTTCTGGAATTACATCATTCAGCCCAATGAATTGCTTTGAAAGGTTTCCTGGACTGACTTCTTTATGTCCCTTTTATATTGCAGATGTGGTGTGCCATAGTTCCAGTAGTGGACTGAAATCAAAGTATTACAATGAATTTGTAATCTGATGTGGCATATAATTTGCATTAGCAGAACTCAGTTAACCAGCCCAGAACATCACTGAATTATGTAAAAAGTGCAACTAGCCCACCCAATAACAGGCCATCCAGGAATTTGATGGCCTGATAATTTGATAAATTCAGTATAAAACTGAATTTATACTATCAACTTGAATTGTGAATCTAAAATCATTTCCTGAAGGTGAACTCAAGTGTATGACTTAAATCTCAAATTGGTGCTGCCATAAAATGATTTATTTTAGCGGTTAGAGCATTCGCCTCACAAACGAGAGACCTGGGTTCGATTCCCGGCAAGGCGAAATGTTAGGAAAGTTTCCTTACTCCACACTCCTCTTTTTACCTAGCAGTAAGTAAGAACCCGGTTGTTAGTTGATTGGTGGATCACTTATCCAGGGATAATAATCCTTAAAACAACAATAATAATTTGGTCACTCAATCCACGACTGTTTGTGGGATATTGCTGTGCAAAATTGGCTGCTGCATTTCGCCCACAAATACAGTCAATTCACTTTACAGTATATTCTGTGACGCGCTTTGAGACGTGTAGAAGACGTGAAGCACGCGATATGAAAAACAAGATTATTATTATGCTCAACATTTAGGGTTGATTCAATGTGGAAACAACATTGAACTGGCACTTATTTCGTAGAATAACAACAACAACAACAACAACAAGATTCCATTTATAAAGCGCCTTTCACGTCAGGAGGACGTCCCAAGGCGCTGCACAGTTGGGTCATGACCCGAGCAGGGGGGAAATGGTCAGGGTGAGGGGAGGGAAGGGAGGGAGCGAGGAGGGGGAAGAGAGTCGAGAGGGGAGCTGAAGGCACGGTCAAAGAGAAAGGTTTTGAGACCGGCCTTGAAGGAGGAAAGGGAGGAAGCAAGGCGAAGGCACTGGGGGATAGAGTTCCAGAGCCATAAAAAAGCCATAAAAGCCAATAAAAGAGACATTATGCCTGACCTATCCTGTCTGCTCGCTGTTCCTTTGTACAATACAAATGCTCTTTTTCTTAGATTTCTTAGATGGAGTTGTATAGATGTTTTTTGTTTTGTACTGTTCACTCCAGAATGCTGAAAGGCAGTTGGTGCAATGTAGTTGACACTTCTGCATCGTACTTTTTAGAGACAGTATTTCTGGTCAGATTATTACCTCACATATACAAAAATAAACCGTAGCCCATGTATCTGATGTCACAAAGTATTTGATTGGCCACATAAATTGCATAAGATCCATTACTCACTGCTCATGCAGTACACTACAAATTTACATTATGGTGCCTTGGGAGAAGTTGGGAGAAATATATCTGGTATATAAGTGGACTCTTCTACATACAAAATTTCCTCTTAGATGTGAATGAAAACACACGTTTACAATGTTAGGGTAACTTGCATTAATCACTATAGTTTTAAAAAAATAAGAACAAGAAAAGAGAAGAGGAAATGTAGGAGACCTTTTTTTGATAAGAGAGGAACAAGCTTGCTAGGATCGAGAATCTACACAAAGTTTCAAAAAGAAACTGCTTAAGTTCTCGTCAACTAGAAGTATTTAGGGTTATTAGATAGCATTGATATATTGAAGGAAATTGCATCGGTGGGTTAAATGTTCTGATCCTGCCGAGATTTCTATCTGTATATATTACTATTTTAAAAAAATTACAATCTCATTATCTTTAAGATAGATCCATTCCTTAACTATTTATTGAGACCAAATCAAGAAAGTCACCTTACCAAGATTTATGATCCTATTGGCTGACAAGTTGAGTACTGTAAGAAGTTTTAGTGATGCCAGAGGAGCCAGGTTTGAGATTTCATTCCCTGATAGATCCAACCTCTCCAGGTTTACACATTCTCCAATGCAGCCAAGATTGCAGATTCCTGTAGAATAACAGTAGCGATAAAACATTGTGTAATTATAGTTTCTGCATTTTCAGAAAATCCTGGAAATGAATTTGGTTCTGTATTTGGTACTGTACATTTGGCTGCTTTATTTTCAAAGCACAACTCCTAAATTAAAATGATATTTTTTTTACAATTGTAGACAGAATCTTAAAACTAGAGTTCAAGCCAACTTTAAGTAAATGCAGGAAATGTCTTCACACAAAGCAATGTGAGAAGATGGAAACAATACACTGCTCTAGAAAGGCTGCAGCGAAGAATTAATTGAGATATTTAACCGCAATTTGGGTGGGGAGTGGGAAGTAACGGTAAGAAATGTGGAGAAATGGTGAGAAATGGGATTAGACCCAAAAGTGCCATCGCTGGCAGATCTGAAGTGTTTGAGCACACACACACACACAAAAAAGACACGGTGTGAAACAGACTCAAACACTGAGACAAAATGTTTTTACATTATTTACATTAGTGTCGATTGCAGTTATAATAATAATCCTTGCATTTGATATAGCGCTTTTTACGTTGATGGCAATGAGAGCATCTGCTCTTTTTATATATATATATATATATATATGAAACAGGTGACAAAGGTAGAAACAAGGAGGTGCAATCTCACTGTTACATTTACTCAGAAACTGTCACTTGATAGCAACCCAGAGCCCTAAAAAAATAACCCCCCCCCCCACACCTGCTTAATTAGCTCACAGTACGATGCAGCAACGATATACTTTACTCACTGAGATTATTTAGTTTGAGGAACAGGATGGATTCCAGGTCGAATTCCCCAGTGCGTGACTTGAGCAGTTCGGCTGTGATTTTGACATTTTCTTTTTCTGGCTCCATTAAAAAAAACCACACAAAAACCAAACAAAAATGAATGAACACACATTGTACAGAGAGGGGAAGGGGGGGGGGCGGGGGAAGGAAAGGGTGGAAAAAGGAAGGAAGGAAGGATGGTGGAGAAAGAAAGGTGTGGGGGGAGGGGGATGAAAGCCAGGTCATGGCTGAAATAAGAGAGTGGAAAGGGTTTGCTGTGCGCTACACACTCACAGGGAGGAGGTGGATAACAGGAGGTTCAGCTGACAACCCCCACACACTCTCAGCTACATCTCTGCCTGTCAGAGACTGTCACCGACCCCATCTCTCCCCCCCCCCCCCACTACCACCACCTCCCCCCCCACCACCACCTCCCCCCCACCACCACCCCACCCCCCCCCCCCCCCCCCCCCCCCCCACACCACCACCACCCCCCACACCACCACCTCACACCACCACCACCCCCCCCCCACACCACCACCACACCTCCCCCCCCCCACACCACCACCACCTCCCCCCCCACACCACCACCCCCCCCCCCACACCACCACCACCTCCCCCCCCCACACCACCACCACCTCCCCCCCCCACACCACCACCACCTCCCCCCCCCACACCACCACCACCTCCCCCCCCACACACTACCACCACCACAACCTCCCCCCCCCCACACCACCACCACCTCCCCCCCCCCCACACCACCACCACCTCCCCCCCCCACACCACCACCACCTCCCCCCCCCACACCACCACCCCCCCCCCCCACACACCACCACCACCCCCCCCCCCCACACCACCACACCCCCCCCCCACACCACCACCTCCCCCCCCACACCACCACCACACCACAACCCCCCCCACCACCACCCCCCCCCACCACCACCACCTCCCCCCCACACCACCACAACCCCCCCCCCCCACAGTCGGCAGCCCTCACCATGTTTATTATCCTTGGCTGCCATCCCCGCAGCCTCTGTGCGGTTTATTTATAAATACCATCAGATCATGGTCACGGCGAGACCTCCCCCCCCCCACCCACACACACCCCCCCACACACCCCCCACACACACCCCCACACCCCCACACACCCCCACCCCCGGGTCCAGAGAGAGAGAGAGTCACCGCGGGGTCTCTCGGGCAGACACACCGACTGACATTCACTCTGACTCGGGAAGGGACTTCCTCGTTGTGGGAGGAGGAGGAGGAGGAGGAGAGCCACCAGAAGCGCCCGCTCTCCCCACCCCCTCCTTCTGTTGTTGTTGTTGTTGTGCGGTTACTGGGACGACGTCGCCATTTGCTCCCTCCTCTCCCCTCGACCTTCTGCCGTATAACGAAACCCGCCCCCCCCCCCACCCACCACAACCGAGGGTCAGTTGCAGTGTCGCAAAAGCCGGGCTTCACGACAGGTGGGGGCACCAAAGCTGGTCTGGCAGTCAGTGTTGCTGGACTGGTTGGTTGCCTGGCAGGGGGGGGGGGTCACCCCCTGCTAACCCTGACAGCCAAAGCCCTAACGGGTGTGGGTGTGGGTGTGGGGGGGGGTTGGTCCGAGCTGGACGCGCAGCTATATTGTATCTGGTTAGAGCCCACAACGCCCGCTCGGGGGTCTTGGCTCTCGCCAACCTGCGCCGAATGCCTTCTGGCTTTAGATAAGCAGGGTGCGTCCCTCCCAGGGAAAGGGTCCGCAAATCCATCCATCTGACAGCCATCTGTCTCTGGGATTTCCACGCGTAGGTGGGAACGCCGGGGAATTCCTGGCTCGGTTTGCGCACCCTTTAAGCCCGGTGATGCGCTTCGGCGGGTGTCAGGCACCCGGCTGACCAAAAAATAATAATAATTTTTTGGTGCAATGGACGCTTAAGAGTTGTCAATGTCAGGATGTTGAGGAGGGGGTGAACTTTAAGGTAAAAAACAGACAATTAGAAATTAATTTCCACATCTACTTCTATCTCTATATATGTATTAATATGCACAGGAAAGTGGATAGCAAGAGGCATGTTTTCTGTTTACCGTTTCAGACTGAGATGTACCAAAACACGCTATGTTGTTGAAATGAGTAAATCTCCCTCAAAATACCTAGTGTGTGGTGTATGTCTGTCTGTCTGTTTGTTTGTTTGTTTGATACTGTTTTGATCACATTTTGTAATTTGGCAATTTTATTTTGACATGTTTGCTCTTTCACAACAAAATGTAAAGTGGAGGTTAATGTAACGAGTGCAGAGTTGATAAACAATTGAAGGACAACAACTGAAAATGATAACATTATGAAACTCACAGGGCACTTGTATTGAGGGTACTTCTTACTGGGACATGCCCCCCCAAAACTGCTCCTCTCTCAGACTCTTCCAAACTTCAAAATTAGGTGTCTCCGCCTGGCTATTTCACATCTCCCCCAGTTAGGGGACACAAAAGCCAATTGTAGCATTCTCCTGCCCATTCTTGCATTTGATATAATAATAATAATAATCCTTGCATTTGATATAGCGCTTTTCACGTCGGGAGGACGTCCCAAAGCGCTTCACAGAACACACTGTAAAGTGAATTGACTGTATATTTGTGGGCGAACGCAGCAGCCAATTGCGCACAGCAATGTCCCACAAACAGTCATACGGATTGAAAATGACCAATTTTTTTATTATTGTTTTTTTTTGTTTTTTTGGAAGGATTATTATTAGGCGCTGTGTGGAGTAAGGAAACTTGCCCAAGGTTTCGCCCTGACCTGCCTGGAATTGAACTCGGGTCTCTCACTTGCAAAGCGAGTGTTCTAACCACTGAGCTACAGGACTCCATATATAGTGGCCTATTACGTCATAGAGACGTCTCAAAGCGCTTCACAGTGTCTGGATACATCTCAAAATGTACCTCTTTTGACCGTGTATTTTGTGGGCGAGTTCAGCAGCCAAATTCCGCACAACAATGTCCTACAGACAGCCATGGAGTGAGTGACCAATTATTTGTTCTGTGGCCGACTCCCTTCTGTTTTCAAGTAGCGCCAGGCGGTGAGGATGACCAAAAGCACAGTCAAAAAGAGGTACGTTTTGAGATGTGTCTTGAACGAGGGTAAGGAGGGCGCAAGTCAGAAGGACACAGGGATGGAGTCTATGTACAGCGTTTCACCCACAAAATACGCAGTCAATTCACCTTACAATACAGTCTGTGAACCACTTTGAGATGTCTCAATAACGTAATAAGGCGTTATATCAAATGCAAGAATTATTATTATTATTATTTTTATTATTATTATTATTATCCCATACAGTCTTCTTTAGTATTCGATTAGATTTCAGAGCCGTATCATGTGTTGGGCATTGTTGGGAACCTTGTCCCATAGAATTTCCACCCCCCACCCCCACCCACCCACCCACCCAAGTGTGTGAAAGTGCGCCCGCTATCGGCTGCAGATTGCATCTGCAGGAGAGATCTCAAGCAGTTTTGAGACTGAACCGAGAGCAACCAAAGGGGCTTTCTGGTGCTGAAACGGGTTTCTTGGCTCCATCGTCCGTTCGCTTGGTCGGGAGTGGGAGAGGAGTGGGAGGGGGAGAGGAGGGGGAGGGGGAGAGGAGAGGAGGGGGGGAGGGAAATCCTGCTAAAGAAAGTGCAACATGTAACTCCGGGTCCACTGCCTATTCCGTGGCGAGTGGGGAGTGGGGAGTGGGGTGGGGGTGGGGGTGGAGGGGGGGCGGCACTGGGGCAGCGAAAGAGGATCCATCCTCCTGACAAGACAATTGTACCAAACTGATGCCGTCCGGTGTGTGGCCGTAGCTTTGGACATTCAATGCGGGGTTGGGAACTGCGTGGGTTCACCCCGAATACATGCCCTAAATGCATAAGGTAGAAAGGACGCCTGGAACTTCTAATGTGATGCATCTACACACAAGGAATATTACTCGTTTAAGATGGGTAATAAGCAGACGATATTTACTGATGAACAGCTCGACGCCTATCAGGTAAGAAAGGGTTTGCATTTGGGGAAAGTGAGCCCCAATGTTACTGTTAATTGAGGATAAACGAACTAAATGAACCTTTGGTGGGATGACTGGGGTTTGCTCCAACCAGTGAACGATGGGGCAAATGCATCATGATCTCAACCGCTTTTTTTTGGGGGGGTGGGGGGGGGGGGGTGGGGGAAAGCTCTGAACACTTGGCAAATATTTTTGGTAAAAAGCTATCCCTAATTTATGTTTTTTTTAAAACTCTCGCAATGATAGTTTGTGTCTGTGTGTATGGGGGGGGGGGGGGGGGGTTAAATAAAAAAATCTATGAGATCATTCAGATGAATTGTAATAATCTAAATGAAATCGTGGGTGTGTGGCATTTCGAAAAGAAACTGTGGAGGAATCCGAAATAACCGCATTTGTTTTTGTTGGATCGATGCAAAACGTAAGCAATGAACAGGAGTAATGATACCCTGAGTCAGATCACAGCTCTTTTCTTACCCAACCCATATGTTGTTGTAAATTCTGAACAATTTGACCCAAACAACGCAGCGTCCAGTGGTCCAGTGTGAGTCTCGAGTTGACACATTAAGTTTCACACTTTATCTGGACAGTCTCATAAATCCTCCAGCTCTGACAGCTCGTCCGAAAGGCAGATCATAAATCCTGCAAAAAGGCAATCGGTACTGCAACATTAGACCCCCGAAATGATGTCTTAGAAATAATGTCTTTGACCCGTGGGTTACTTTAGGCGATCCCCACACACGGAGTAAGGCTGTGGGGTGGATGTGCTGGTACACTGTGGTCAGAGGAAATCACAAATTATGTATAACCAGTGATGGATATAAACTGATCTGAGCAACACCGGCTTCCAAATGCTCATTGTGTCTACTGTGTATCCAATTTTTTTGAGAAAATGCACACATTGGAACCTGCATAAGCTGAAATGTCCTCTTGGTGTATTGTATTTCGTGTCAGTTTCTTCAAATGGAAGACAATCAGCCCAGAATCTTCGTTTGAGGCTAATTTAATAATCAGTGCTTTAAGGATAAACAGATTATTACTATATGGATGAAGAATCCTCATTTTACTATTGCAGAAAAACTACTAAGGAGAACAATAATCTTGTAAAGTAGATATCCTCAGAAGCCAGCGTGGATTTAAATAGATGTAGCAGGTAGGGAGGGAGTGCATTTGATAAAGGTTTTCTTCAGTACCAGCCTAAATTATAAAAAGAACTGTGAACCTGAGAGATAAGTGACACTGCAACATAAACAATTTAAGTACTTTGAGGGAACAAGGAGACACAAACCTGTGAGTTACTGTAGTTCATAGTGTTTCATGAATCAAAGAGCCAAAAGGGCCTTTGCCGCTGTGCATTCTAATCCAGTAGAGAATCCAGCAATGCCACGTCTAAAATCTGCAGTGGCAGACGTCTGTTGTGCGTTTATCTATTACCAAACAAAGCGTGCAATGATTGTGCACCAAAATATACCTTAAACCTTTACTTTCATCAATTATTCTTTAATTTCTTGAATTCCAGACAGAAAACCCATAAAAGGGTTAATGGCTCAAAAATTCAATGTACACAATACAGAACCTGAATACAGTAGTTGTGTTATCTCTGTCCAGCGCCTTGGAACGTCCTAATCTTGTTGTTGTATTTCACAGCAACAATTATATTTATCGGTGGCGGATTGCTTTCCGGGGTAATAATCCCTCCCCCCAAAATGTGGTCACTTAATCCGCGACTGCCTGTGGGACACTGCTGTGCGCAATTGGCTGCTAAGTTTCGCCTACAAAATATACAATCCATTTACTTCACGGTATATTCTGTGCTTTGAGAAATCTCAGCAATGTAATAAGGCACTATGTCAAATATAAGGATTATTCTCCTAAGGCATTCTCCCTAACATTTTTATGTGAAGATTTATGATATTTGGCATGTAATTTCGCAGCAAGTGCTTTACAAGTTATGTAACAAAACTGTCTGGTACACAGCAGACACTGCAGAGGAAGGCAGAGCTCATTATCTGCCAACTCAGATTCTATTTGAACAAGACATTTCCTTCGCGCTACCATTATTGAGTAGATTCTTCCTCTTGCTGATTCCAAGTTAATGCAAAACCAAAATTATTTATTGAGATTAATACCTGTGTAATGACACTTGGTCAATTTGGTCCTTTTGCAGCCTCAGCCAAGAGCTTGCCAGCAGTTTTTATCAATGAACTGTCACACATTCAGCCTACAAAATTGTGTTGCTACTTTCAATGTAGTTTCCTAAGTCACTCAGTACAATCAAATTTCACTGCAATGCTGTTTGGAAATATACGTTCTTTTCACATGTTTTCATGACATGTTTTAATATTAAACATTTCACAGTGATCTGTAGGTCAGTGCTATTCACTAAGTTGAAAAAAAGATGCTTATCTTTTTCCACCCAACTTTCTACCTCACTCTCTTGAAGGTGCTGACTCATGTTGATCCTGGTTCCGCAGTATTCCCAAGTGACTGTTCTTTATGTGTGAGATTGGACAGTAAGTGGCAGCAGGCAATTTGACTGTGGGAACTCACAATTGAGCTTAAGTCTGCCATCACTTGGTGTTCACATATGTGCACTTTCAGCAATCAATGGATGAAAATCAGGAGTGGGGAAACCTGGCTGATTCTTCTTCCTATGCCAGAAGCATTGATACTCTGACTAGTTAACTTAGCCCACAAAATATACAGTCAATTCACTTTACAGTATATTCTGTGAAGCACTTTGAGACGTTTCGAAGACATGATAAGGCATTATATCAACTCACTTTGCGCTGCTCTGGGCACTGACTGTGATAACACAGATACCGGACTTTACACACCAATGGTGGTAAATGGTGGTAAAGCAGAACTGACAGAGGCAAAGAACCTATCGACCCTTCATTAATGAGTTGCTCACTGTCTGGTTGAAGGACAAAGATGTGGTCAAGAGGTGACAAACAGAAGATCTGAGATACTTTACACTGAATTTTGATCCAACAAAGGGAAACATAGTTGGGCCATCTGAGCGTTCCTAGCATAATGAATGACCTGCCCCTAATTGAGTGCTGTTCTGTCTTTTAACCTTCCTGCCCACCAGTAGAAAACTGCACATTTATTTCTATTTTTTTCTGGAATACCGATTGAACTCATACCATGCAATGCTATTTGCAGCAATAAATTCACATCATCCTCATTAACTATGAAAAATATGGAACAATATAAATCATCACCAAGTACTAAATATATCTGCGCTGATTGATAGCAATAGTGAACGAGAAAAAATGGACAAAAGAATCTTGAAAAAATCAATACATTTATGTTTTTTTCACTTGGTATTACACAAGTGCAGCTGAGCTTTTGGCATTCCTGCTGTTTTCTTAATGAAAACTCCCTATTTGTCAACTTCAAAAGCAGCTAGAACATTCAAGGATTCTAATGATGGTACTAAAAATATCCTATAGATTATTTTCTGTTCTGTAAAGTATAATACTATCTAATAAATATTCACAACAGTAATTTATAAAATGTTGCCTAGTGAAAATCAGAGTGAATGAATATTATTTAGAACCCAAATTGTGGTAGCAGCCTTGCAAAAATAGACAAAATGATGCCAACCAAACCAGTACATTATGAACTCCTGCAGTTTTACTACTGGGGTGTGGGTGGGCAGGTGTAAGTAAACAAGCTGTAGTTTGTCAACAGATACGTGTCACCAAGATACTTATGATTTCATAATGCATGCTTCAGTAATTGAATGGTTCATTATCTGGCTCTCATTTCAATTTGCACAGTTATAGCCATCATTATTACTGTCAGTGGGACAACAAGGAAAGATCCTTCTGTGCCGATGTAATACAATATTGCCATGCAGTATGCTACAGAAAGAATAGAAGAACTTACAGGATTCATTGAGATGCAGAGGAGCTTAATAATTCACAAGTAGGCATAACAGCTTATCTTGAAATACTATACGTCTTAAATAATCCTGACATAATGTCTGTGTTGACTTCTGTTTCATTAATTGAAGTGGTTTACGATTGCTTTCACTCCTTACACTGTATATCAGTGTTTTGCAACAAATCTTAGTATTTGTCTGTAGTGGTTTAAATTTCTCTGTTCCGGTTTAATGCAGAAGTTATCAGAGATTTTTTAAAATGCCACTAATTTTATATGGGATTTTAATTATTTTATTGGGTAATTGCCATGGTGCACTTGCTTTAAGTTATTTAAGGATGTAATTCTTCAGGTAGTTTAAATCCACCGAATGATCATTAGCAATCTCCCATCTGCTACACATCAACTGTACAGCCAGAGATTTTGTCATGCCTGATATGAGAATTGTACATTTAACTGCAGCAAGTAGCTAATGAGGAGGTAGTATACATTAATAATATACAATAGGTCATTAAAGAACACTAGCAAAGAAAAAAAATGAATTGCATCTCTGGCCCAAGAAGATGAATGGGAGCCACAGGAACTAAAAGTGCTCACATAGCTTGGAAAATTAGTTCAGCTGTTTGGCTTTGAAAGTCTAAAGAGTCTACTTGTACTGTTATGCGACTATCCACTAATACACCTAATTAGTTTTGTCCCATCTTTGTGATGTTGGCTATGACATATCAATGAATACAATATTTGATCTGTCAGAATAAAGTGCACCAAAACCTATGATTGTTTGATTTATTTTCAACAGCTTCTTTTAGTTCTATCACGTGAGCAATACAAATTGGTCATTTATAATTTAATAATAATAATAATTCTTGCATTTGATATAGCGCCTTATCACATCGCTGAAACATCTCAAAGTGCTTCACAGAACATAGGAACAGAAGTAGGCCATTCAGTTCCTTGACCCTGTTCCGTCATTCTATTAGATCGTGGCTGATATGTACTTCAACTCCAATTACCCACTTTTGTCCCATATCCCTTGATACCCTTACCCTTACCTATATATTGTAACAAACATAGTGTCACTGGGCACACTCAGTGGACCTGAAGCGTTGACTCACTTTCCTTTCTCCATAGATGTGCCTGACCTGCTGAGTGTTCCCATCGACTTCTGTTTTAGTTTCAGATTTCCACCATCTGCAGTATTTTGCGTTTTGTAGAATATATTGTAAAGTGGATTGACTGTATTTTGTTGGTGAAATTTGCAAATTATCTGCAGTGTTTGCCTACAAAATACATAGTTGCTACACTTTACAGTGAATTCTTTGAAGTGCTCTGAAGTGTCCTACCCCGTGTGAAAGGCACTTTATGAAATGCAAGGTTTATTATTATTTATTATTATTTTAATACCTTTAACTGGAAAATGAAATACGAGCGTTGGCCTAGTAAAACATACATTTTTTCTCTCCAGAAGTAAACATGGACCAACTGGAGCGCGGAGGACTACTGCAGAACACAACACAACAAACACTACGCGCACAACAACAACAAAATTACATTTATAGAAGCACCTTTCACGTCAGGAGGACGTCCCAAAGTGCTGAACGCTATATGACAACACTATCAGTCAGCACTACGTATACAGATTAAATAATAAGTTAGTGAATCAGAACCACATGAGTAATCACGAAGCACAGATGGTATAGAGTTTCAGTTGGCTGAACAAGTACAGGATGAGAAAAAGCATATCAATTTTATGCGGGAAAACTGTGCACACAGTAAATATATTTAATATTCTTTCAATAAATGTAGTGAATTCATTTTAATCACCATCCTTGCATTTGTTCCCTCTGTTAACATTGACATTTAGCTGGTATAGAGGATTGATTCATGAAACAGGAATGGATGAATTGGACAATTTGTCCGATGGTGGATGATTTATTTAATCCCACACCCACTATATATATTGATGCGTAATAATTTATGTGGATGCAAGGTCAGTGTGATCAGTAATCGCATTTGACCTTGTATCAGTCAGACCATGAATTTTCTCCCTTTCCCAGAGGTTTCCTGTAATTTAAATCAAAGACAATCTGATTGTAGGTGGCCTATTGTGCCATTTCTACTTGAACTTTGGTGTTATAGACTGTTGGAAGCCTTCAGTTCTACATACTTCCAATCATATCATAATTGATTTTAAAGTGGAGAGTCCTCTGAATGCTTGCGTCGTGTAGCATGCAGCATAACATATCCATTCCATATATTTTGACTGGCTCACATTTGGGAAACTCATCGCTAAGCAATCGAGGAACTGAAATTGTTACTTCAAGAAACCATATATTTGCTCTATAATTGAGCATAATTTTCACCCCTTTTTACCTATATTCTGCTTATGTATCTAGGCCCTTCAAGAGGTTCTTAGACTATGTATTTAGCCTATAATGTATAGCCCCATATTTCAATGACCAGCCTTGCATTTTGCTCAAAAATAGAGAAGAGTGCAATGGTTTGGGGGATTGGGTATTCACATGTAAGATCTTCCTTTGTGCTTTATGGACCACCCGCATATTGAGCCTTTATGGCTGATATACACAATGGATGGGCTTTTGCCGCCTTTGTTCCATGTGAGTGCAGTTGACCACACACAAGCAAAGCAAAAAAATGCTGTTGTATCCCTATTCATTGAAGTGGTTGATGTTTATAAGCTTCCCAAGCAATGCATCAGCCACCTCTTAAATTTAGGTGAACCCAGTACTTTACCTCATGCTCACAACATCCCTCCTAGCTAATTTGAATGACTCAGAACAAAGAAAAAGTGTACAATCAATAATAGAGCAGCTCATGTCCCACATACTGCTGCATCTTTATAACTTTATAAGGTGGTCCTCCATTTGGCAAAGTATCTTTCCTGTAGACCCTGGTTCTTGAAATTATCTTGTGATAGCCCCTACTTGAGTAGCTAAACCTCCCATTAATTGTATTTCTCCACCAAAAGCATTAAATTGTATTCTATTGTAAAAGCACAATGGGTACCATAAAGAATAAATGGTGCTCTATTATTTTATTATCATCTTGTTGGATTGGCCACTTTCTGCTCTAAGTGTGACCTTGTAAATAAATAAGATTTGTTGAGTTAGTGACATAAAAACATAATTACTTTTTTGAACTCATGCTGAAAAATAAAAACAGGGTCTACATTTATTTCAATGTCGGATGTTAGGCTTAGTATTGCATTTATGGGAGAAGGTAGTTTGGCAGCAAAATTACAGACAGGTGGAAAATCGCTTGCACAGTCTTATAAAATTGAATACGTCCCTATGGGAAGTATTTGCAAATTATTTTCTTTGTGATGAATGGGAGCCATCATCGATATTGATGAGACAATTTATCTGCCGGCCCGTGACATAAATGGCATGTCACACATTTTTCTTTTGGGAGTATTTAAAGTGGAAATACCGTGTATTTGGCTGTTTTACTACATAATCCTAAATGTTATGGAGGAGGTAACTGTAAACTTAAACTAGAGCCTCCACTGACATCGTGAATCGAGGAGCATGCTGTGAGTGACAATGTCACTTGGAAATTCTACTACATACACCTGCTCCCAGCAATTTAAAAATATAAAGAACACAGGAATAATGGGACGCCGATAAGCATTACAGATATTTCTCTTTGCAGTATTCATCACTCTGTTGCTATTAGAAGAAAATATTTTCCCTTTAACTCTTTTTGCCCTGGTTTTCACAGATTGACATCATGACAAATAGTGATTCAAAGGAATCGCACTTTTAACCTCTTCTTTCATTTATTTTTCAATTATTCCGAAATGTTAGCCATGCTTAGATATTGCTGAATAAACAGCCGCGCAATTCTTCCAGTATTATCATTGATTTCCCATCAGTTTTATCGGTTTTAAAAAATTATGAGATACAGAATATTACAGAATAATAAGTGTTTGGTTCCCTGCTGTCTCTGTGGGTAAACATACCATTGAGAGTGGTGCTGTGCCTTACTAAATGACCTCTGGTCTGGCCTAGCATTGATTTCAGTCGTGATGGCTACAATTGGTCTCAGACTCTTTGGACAAGTGAAATGAGAAAATCAGCCAGGTGTGTTTGAAGATTTTCCCCTGTGGTTGAAGAGCCCACCATAAATTATACTGGATTGGATTTAACTTTAATCTTTACATGGAGAAACTTGGGGTAAGGCAAATTGCTTGTTTCCTAATACCTCCATGTGTATAGTGGGGGATGGTTGAATTTTATTTTAAACCTATTTTAAAATGCTCAGGGTTTGTCAAACAAACTACCAAATACCATATTCTCCACGTCCAAATGGTTTTTTTTAAATGAAGAATTTAGTGAGTGTTTTCTGCTGTTTCTAATTAAATTAAATTCCAGAATAAAACATGTGGCTGCAGGACAAAGCACAGCAAACTGGCAACGGTGTTTCTTGGCAGACCACTTTTGCGTTTATCAGAACTCGACTGAAAAAAATCTGAAATCTTTATTTGTTAAAAAAAAACACATTTTGTGTTACGGATAGGCTGTGATTATGATGTTAATAATCTCTGCTTGTAATTCTGATATTCAAGTGTCCGTTGCAATGTAAAGTGAGGTTATAGATGACTCTCTGTGTATAGTGAACACTTTCAGAAGTCCTCAACATGATGTGAAAGGCCCTGTATAAAAGTAAAATGTTTGCATATTATAACTACTCGTTGGACTAAAGCTGCTGTTGTTTTCTCTTGCAGGACTGCACCTTCTTTGCCCGCAAAGAAATCCTCCGGTGAGTGACCACATTGCTCACTATAGCTTCAGAGTGTTTGGCACCGATTCAAATTGTTAAGTGTTTTTTTTTTATTTTGGAAATGGGGAGCGTGTAGCATTTAATTTAGAGCTCTGTTCTATTGAGTGCTTAATTTTTTTTACTGTGTTAAGAAGAATTAAGGGGAAGATTCGCAAAACGTTTTCACACAAGGGTTATTAGAAAATGGATGCTTTGCCATGGTGCTATCAAAAGCTAAGATCATAGTATTTAAAAGGGAATTGAAAATTAATTGAATAGGGACAATATAAAAGGAGAGAGGCAGAGAGCAGAGAATTGGATAGGTGGGGTGGGCTAACGACTGACCTTCTGTGCTGTAATTTCTATGAATATAGTACCTTGGGTCAAACCATATAAAATAATAAAATTCTATTAAAGAAAGCTAAATAACGAATGTGAATAAACTAGAGTATTAATCTACGTGAAATTTAAATCTATCTATAGGTCTAAAGAAAAAGGCTGGGTAACTTTTGTAGTTTAAATATTAGATAAAAACAACAGTATTTAAAGCTTCAAAACTTTCAGCAACTTTTCTTGTCACTCTGCACAGTCTGTAAAGCACACTCACACCGGAAAGCAACTGGCAACTAAAGTACAGTAATTGCAACGTATGAAGAGTGCTTTCCTGTTGTCAATGCCTTTGGAATCATATTTTACACTCAGCGCTCCATTTGCTCATTCCATTTTTGCCAACCATAAATATTATCACTGAAAACAGGAATGTTGGTCTTTATTCCTTCTTTACATATAAAGCCACAGACATTGTATGGAGTTGAATGCAAAGTTAGCACTGCTGGTACTTGGATTGGTGGGGCAGAGCCAGGTAGTGTACAATGATGAAGATTGAAGGTTTTGATTGATTACCTTCGGGGATTAGTGAGTATCCACTCAGAACTTTACTGCAGAATATAGAGTGGGTAAATTCAACATACCATGTAAGGAACAGATCATGCTGCGCATGATAACCTTTATTAGTTACATACTTTTTAAATTTAAATATCCTTCTTACACACTTTGATGCAAATGTGAACTGTTGATATTTCCATAAAGTTTATAGCAATGATGTAATGTGAGCTTGAGGTTGAAGCATGTAAATATCTGGAAAGGCAAATATAGAAAAGAACAACTCTGCAAAATGTTGTGTAACTCATGTCTGTCCAACTTTGCAAACATAGCTTATGATTAATTGCTAATATGAGAACGCAACATATAGCAAAATTATTATATTTGTTACATTTAATCTACTCAATTAATTTTGAAAGAGGGTAGGCACTTTCTAACCATCCTTCATCTCAAGGGAAGCAATAATCTCTTAGATCTGAAAAAATTCAAGGCAACACACAGCTTTATGCATTTAATTCTTTTCATAAATGTGAGGAAGGGACAACTGTAGATGAATAGAAGATGATAATGAAGAGGAAGATTTCATAAGTGTAATAGCACTCCCACTTATTAGTGAGTAAAGAAACTTGTTCTTTCACACAATGGATAAATTACAAAGAAAATGCTGCATTTAAAAAATTGTTTTGCTCTGTTAACTTTTATCATTTGGATCACATTATTTTCAACCAGGAATATCATAGTCAACGCTAAACCATATGGTGCTGAAAAAATATTGCTACTGCACAAAATTGTGCCTGGATCACAAAAGAAGCACACACTCTTAGTTCTAACCAAAGATTGAGATCTGTCTTCAGTCCTAAATCACTGCAGGTTGCAATAATCTGTTGGTGATTTATGTGCTACATGACGTGTAATATAAAAGTCACATAATAGGACAGCTAAAAATGTGTGTTAGCTGGACCAAGGGGTGTTTGCTGTGTTATGGTATTACATTAGGACACATTTATTGAAGGCCATGTGCCTCCATGCAATTTCTGGGACAGGTGAGGCCATTTCCATTAGTGACCCTTTTTCACTGCCACCAGTCAAAGCTCTGACGTATGAATCAAACAGCCACATTTCAATTACATAAATAATTGAAATGTTTTAGGCCAAAATTGCTGTGTACCATTCATGCATATAACGCGTTACTTGTGGGAGGACTTTGGAACCTCACACTCAATAAGCCTAGGCAGCCGATTTGATCATGAGGCTACTATAGCTGAGCCCAATTCTGTCCCTCGCTAATCTCACACATATGTTTCTCCTGGAAGCAAAGATTTTTCTTTATGATGCTGAAATCAATTGTAGCACTGGATGAGACCAACTGTTTCAGCACACATAAGGTTTAAAATTGAAATCTTAATGTTTTGCATATCTCAGCATCACAACACAATGCATTTACCCAATGGGTCACTGAAATAACTTTCCTTGCTTTAACTACAGGGTGTAAGAAACATCAAGAATAAGAAAGAATCCATCAGCTAACAAACCTCAGTCCTCTACTCCCCTAGATTACCCAGAGCAGTATAATAGTTCCTAAAGTGTGTTACCCTCACTGTCCTGTCTGGCAGATTTTTCCAAACTGTTATCATTAGAGTAAAACTAGTCCTTCCTAATATCTGTTTCAAAACTGTTTTTCAACAGTATTAATCTCTAGCCTTACATTCCTGGTTCAAGTTGAATATTCCAGGTTCACTCTTTCTCTAATGTTTAATCATTGTTGATAACGCATTTCTTTTAAACTTGGGATTGGCATTGCTTCTCTTATCTTCACCAAATCATAGTACTCTAGGTATGGTCAATACATTGTTGAGATCCAGTATAACAAAGAACAGTTGTGCTCTACTCTTCTGCTCTGAAATGTATAAATATCATTGTTTTATATCCTTTATTAATTACTTTGAATTATGGTCCAGAAAGTTAGCACTGCATTACTTTACGCTGTCTTCCCTCTGTATATGTATGCCTGATATGAGTACCAGCCAGTCACCAGTGCCATTGACAGTGCATCTGATCGATGTAGGTATGTATATTCCTAGGTAAATAGATTTGAAATGAATTGCACAGTAATGATTCAGAAGGGTGTTCCTCACCTGAATATCTTTTATCTTCCATATATCTGTAGATAAGCTGTGTTTCTATATGCTTTGGTGTGTAGCATTTAATTTTCCAGGTCAGTACTTCTTAACAATATAATAGAGCTACCTGTCCAGGTAATATTTTGTAAATGTTTTAATATAAATTAATTAGATTGAACAGCTTGTCTCCGTTCCGTAGCTAGGTTGACCAATAGCTGAGCAACCATCTGGTGCTCATAGATTAGAGTAACACGAATTTCAATGTGAGTGATGCATTACTTCAGGCTTCATTCACTTTCATGTAAATTAGCTGCTGTGCTGAAGCTCCAGCGTAAGACTGATCGATCTGTCAAGAGTTCAATACAACAAACCCCTAGAGAGATCCGATCTGATGTAGGGAAATTCTAAAAGCCACTCGCTAAGGCATAAAGAACTTGTGCACCCAAGTCATCCTACACAATAAAGTTTAAAAACAAATCACTTTGTAATCACTTATACCATGGAAAGGGTGGAAGTCTTAGGATTTGCATAGATGATGGATGCTCTGTACATGCTTGAGGAAATTAACTTCTGTAAGAGTCTGGGCAGTTCGGCAACACTTTTGGATTGGAGCTTCAGATGGCCTGATTGATTTCTTTTGATCCCATCTGACCCATCATGGGGAAGGATTTGAGTGTTTCACTCCAACACAAACATTGCCACCAGACTCTTTATGTATTTCGGGTCAGCCAACTAAAAAAAAGCACATTAATTAAAGGGAAGATGTATATTCCTCTGAATTTTCACGCAATTCTGACATGAGGATAAATGTCCCTCTTGGCCCTTCGCTGACTATGGTATTGGCTCCCTGTTTCTGGCCCTGGCAGCAACGCCACTTCCAACTTAATGCTATAAGTCTTCCCGACGTGAAAGGCGTTGTAACAACTGCAAATATTATGATTATTAATAATGCAATATGGCGGCAGTCAGGAGACCCATGAACATTTTAACAATATTGCGTGTGTGGAGAATCCCATTACAAACAAGTAAGAAATTACAGTAATTGCTAGTGTTAGAATTTATTCAGTCTCTGTTTCTGTTGCCAACTGTTTATTTATCTATCTTTATTGCAGCTCATTTTTTTCCGCCCTCCCTATTTTGCTCTCTTCCTTCTCCCAGGAAAGGAACTTTGTCCACTTGCTCCCTAGCTAAAGACAGCATGCAGCATTTGTTTTAAAAAAGCTTGATTCCACAATTGGAGCCATCAGAACTTAGAACTGCCACTGGCATCAAGTGACATTTCAAGTCTGCACTCGAGTGCTTTGGATGAGAATGTTAAATGGGGCCCCATCTGCCAGGGAGTTAAATATACCATGACATTATTGATAAAGAGAAGGGAGTTTTACGTGGTGTCCTGACCATCAATCCTACAGATGATTTGGTCATTCTGCTCTTGCTGTTTTGGGATGTGGCTGCCACAATGGCCTACAAATACAGTATACTTATACTGTGGAAAGGATGGAAGTCTTAGGATTTGCATAGATGATGGATGCTCTGTATATACTTACTCCACTCTTATCTCATATTTCTGACCCACCTACCCTCTAAGCTAAGGGTGACTAATGCTATGAAGATGGGTTTCCAAAAAAATAAGGCTATGCAAATCCCAACTGGGTTAAAGGAAAGAAAATGCCTTTTTTTAAATAAAAAATGCCCCTTGTCCCCAAACGCAAAACTAATAAGTAATGTTCCACATATGAAAAGTTGCAAAACCAACACCATCACTTATTTCCTCTGATATGGTGGAGAGTGCAAGTTGCCGAGTTAATGGATTTTAGTACAGTAAATTACAAAACTGTAACTGTCGTTTTTGATTGATGAAAAGAAGCCTTCTCCATATTTTAAAATTTCATGCAAATGGATAAAGCTTGATTGAGTAAACTACATTTATGTTTATGCATACCGTTTAGCTAAAGCAATTTCTCTCAGATTTGATATATGAGCAACTAATTCTTGGAC